GGCCAGAGCGAGACTTTGACTCGGGGCCTCCGGATTATGAGTCCACCGCTCTAAGCGCGCACCCATGGCTCCGTCACTGGCCGAATTTAAGCCAAAGGCGGATTATCTACCCTTGGCAGACTAATAATCCGTTAGATGACTAATTCGTCTTACTCGTGGGACGAATTCACCTGAGGATTTTTGGTTTTAAGAAAGAGGAAAAATAGGTAGAGAAACGCTTGTCTGTAATGAGGATCAGTAAGGAGGGAGACGATAGATTGACTGCTGCAGTATTCCAAAATGAGGTTACATGTATGGTGGCCGAGCATTCTCATCAAAAAACAATGAAAACGACCGGCCGATTGTCGTTTTCATTAAAAAAAAAATTGAAATCGAAAAACCTGTGAGAACGACCGGCCGATTGTCGTTCTCATAAACAAAAAAAAATCATAAATGAAAAACCTGTGAGAACGACTGGTCGTCTGATCGTCTTTTTTTTTTTTTACTTAACATAAACATAGAGATCGCAGAGGGCTCTGAGAACGCCAGGCCGTTATCAAACATCTTATATTTCATTTCGAAATGAAAACGTTCGAAAAAAAGCCGAGCGTTCTCATAGTCCTCATGTCTACGCGGTGAGGACAAACGCAGAGCGCAGACTTTCAGACTGGCAGGTAAACATTGTTGTGGCTTTTTGTCACTTTCATTAATTTTTCGCTTGCGCGTGTTGTGTCCTGTTAAACGTTATAAGCAAAGCAGCAAAACATTGTATGAGATGTGACCTATCTCGACGCATTTCTAAATGACGCTCATCATATTAAGTAAATGCATAAATTGGGAATGACGCGAAGATACATAAAGTCGTAAAAACGTTTTAACTTCCTTACTGGGAAGTTATAAAGCGCAGCTGGTATTTGAGAGGATGCCTGTCATATAATACTCAAATCTTAATAGTGAAACAGAAATATTGCGTTGTAAGAAGTTAAGACCCCATTCCTATCATCTGGTGCCTTCTGGTATAAGTTTTTCAGTGCACAAAGCCTTATTAAACCTTTCTAATTTCTAATTACACCTTCTTTTTAAGGTGTTACTGTGGTATTTTTTGTCATCGTTGTGACAGTTTGTCCCTCACGGCTAATGGTTACTTTCCTTCTTTTATGAACATGTTAAGTTTATGCACACTCACTGTGACAGCACAGTACAGCTGGAAGAAGATTTAACCATGACTTGTTCGTTCATCTCTTCATCATTGTTACAAGGGTTTTTCTTTTGTGTAATGGCCTTAACCGGCACTGAAAAAAGCCCTCGATCAGCATTCTTCATAACCCGGGAAAACAAGAAACTGGTGGGCCATGCCGTCAAGAAATTTAACTCTTCCAGTATTTTTACATGCAGCTATTCTTGCTTACAAAACTCGTGGTGTGCGTCTACAAACTTCAAGAAGTATTTTAAAGGAGAAGAAACTGGAATTTGTGAACTCAACAAGCACAAAAACATTCCGTTTGAAGACATCAAGCTTGTTGATCAACTGGAATCGACTTTCTCCATGCGTTTTAAGGTGATCATGAATACATCACATCATTGTTACTAACATAATAACTGTTGTTGCCCTTCCTTCGCAGATTTAGGGGTTAAACGAGGGGACCGCGGCCCCCTTTTCTGTGAATTTTTATTAGTATTATTGTTGTTGTTGTTGTTAAAGAATTTTTAGTAAAAGAAATAGTGTGTATGGCTGGAAAGTGTCCCGACTGCCCTTTGAATCGTGATGACGTTCAACTGCCCAAAAGCCCGCGCTCTCAGGTTAAATTGAAGGCGCTCTCCGTGGAAGGCTAACTGCTAAAATCATCCCGGAGTTTGGGTCATGAATACACGAACATGATGAACTAATTTTTTGCTTTTCCCTCATCAATGCTAATAGTCCATTAGCTTGGAAGGTCGGAAAATTGTTGTTTCGTTCAACCCACGGGTCAGAAAAAGGTTTGATACCGGATTTTGGCAGAATAAAACCTCCTGATCATTGTCTAATGACATGTAAGGTCGATTTGTGGTATAGGTTTCGAGTAAACGACGTTTTTCTATCACACAAATTACAGTCCAGCATGAAAAAGAGGCTGGAACCTGAATCACCGTTTACTTTCTAATTCTTTGTTTTTTTTTAAAAAAAAAAGTCGCTAAAAAAGGATAACTTTTACCCAGTGTTCAATATAAGAAAAAACGATTCGCATTATTATATTCTCGAGTCATTGATCGCGTAACTCGCACAAGGACAAATCGTGGGAAAATCGACAATTTTCCGACCTCGGCTACTGGATTATAAACCGCAGTACAGTGAATAAGCTCTATTGTACTATTTTTCTGCAATTGATCTCTGTATTTTTTTTTCCATTTATAATTACTCGAATAAAGAGTACATAAATTTTCACAAAGCCTCTAACTGTTCCCTCGGCCAACAAGAGCTCAAAGTCAATTATACACTTTGGTGTCATCTGCTTTTTGTTAGCTCCAGGGAGTCTTTGGAGTAAACTAGATAACTATACTCTATATAGAAAACTGTTTGAATGCAGAGGTCCACGCAACGCGTAAATTTAACTGACTGGATCCTCTTGCGGGATCTCTACTTAAAGAGATGCTGTAGCCAGACGTCACTTTATGTGGAAAATGAAACAAACTGAATTCAGGACTGGCACTACCGAGCTCTGGTCCTGAGAAAGGCGAATTTTGTTAGCCTAAATATTGGCCTATAATAAATCAGCCGTCTGCCGTATTTCGAGCCCTGCATTCAGTTTGTTTCATTTTATACTCTATCGGTTGCCTACACTTTTACATAAACATACATTCAGCTTCTTGCTTGATTAACAAGGCCTTGTGTATTTCGTCTTATTGTTTAATGTCAAGTTCAAAGTAAGGATAGACTGACGATTGCAACACAAAAACCCTGAGCGAGGATTCTGACATCGGTGTTGGGATTTGAAAGAGCGATATGGATCTCTTGACGGCCTAGACGTAACAATTGATGGAGTGAATATTCCGCTATTTTAAAGCTAAGCTCTCTTGATATTTTTTCAGAAAGCATATTACCTCTGCTGTGCTTTTTATAGTTTTGGGAATATGGACCTCCGTCTTTTAAACGCTTCCTATCTATTAAACGCACTTTTCAGTGTATCTCCAAATTTTATCTTAGGATGACTGTCGATGGATTGGATGCCAAAACAATGGTGCTTGTGTAAAAATAAACGAAGAATATACCTACGAGTGTGGTGTCCAGTGGATTGGAAAATTTTGCGAAACAAAAAACAGTGAGTATAATTTGCGTTATTTATCCTTAGCCTGCGTGCAAGCTCTTCATTTCAAAATCGTTTGCGAGCTAGCGAAGGTTCTTTCACAGCTTGACAGCGCGGGATCTTACATTAGAGAGATTTAGAGTTACGTTTACGGCAAACGACAAACGTCAGATTCAAGTGGTAAATTTCTTAAAATAGAAAACGTGCAGCTAAAAACAGTCCAAAACAATTGCTCTAGATAAAACTAACGTGAAGCTACGAATTTTGGGGTGAAACTAATTAACAGAAAAGTACAAGTTAAGGTAAAACTTAATCTCTTGGTACAAATTCACGTTTACCGTAAACTTGAGTCTAAATCTCTTTGATCTCCGACATTATTTTCAAATGAAGTCCCGTCTGGCAAGCATTTCATTCCTGTTTCGTTGCAGTTTTTATTTACAACTTTACTCGGGAAAGGTGCATAAAAATAAAACGGGTTATCATTGAAAGAACAAGAAACGTTACTCGCCTTAGAGACATTTTCCATTAATTTTGAATGCTGGGGTTTATGTCTTAAAAGGCAGGGCGGTTACTGCGTTTGAAGCATATTCCTTGTTTTTCAGAAAAAAAAAACGCAAGCAAACAAAAACAAAGACATCGTTTTACCGAAGAATTAAGTAAATTGATGGTGTTGTATTAGGTTGCCGTTATAGAGGTGACATTCTTACACGAATTTCGTGTTGCATTTACCATTCAAAAAGCTACTATTGAAATGATTTTCTTTGGCTTCAAAGGCAAAAAAAAAACAAACAAAATTCATGGCAAATGTAAGGCACTGAATTTCGAACGAATGGACTACTTAACGATCACTTTACTATTCTGAAGGAATGGGAAAGCGTAACATAGCACACAACTAGGCAAGAGGGATCCTGGGTTCAAAGTAGCTGCGACACGAAATAGCCTCCTGTTTTCAAACATGTTTTGCATCGTTTTGTAGCTTCATTTGTTTTTATTTCATAACGGGAAGAGAAATTCGATTGAACGAACATTGAACTGTTTCTTTTTCTTTGCCCTCAAAAACACCTCGAATAAAATTATAAATCAGTGACTGCTAAATTTAGAAACAGAAATTAATGATTGGGTAAAGGCTGTCAATCACCAGTATCTTGTATTCGGGTATGTCTTTTAACTTTATAATGGTAACGGCTTAATCCTCTAAAAAATTGTAACTTAAAAAAGTGTTGAAACCAATACACCCTTAATTCATGTCGCCTTTTATTAAAAATAATTAGCTGGTTACATCTTGATGTAGTCTTTTGCGTTGCAGGCGGCCCACCAGGCCGTAAGCTTTATTACCTACTTCAATGCATTACAAATCACAAATGGGAATTCTTCCACCTCATCCCCCGAAATCATCCTACTTCGCTTTCATAAACATGCGCATTCTGAAGTTTAAAAGCCAACTGACGTTTGCGTTTTTCACTTTCGCTGCTGTCAATCACCTTAAACTGACCCCTTAGAAAACAGAATTTTACTTCAACGTGTTCAATCTCAAAAGGTCTTGGTTTGTGATTTGTTTTTGGTGGATTTCGATCCGTTTTGTGTGTTTCAGTGTTTCAAGGTTCGTTGTTTGTGATGAAAACTATGATCGACGGCAGCGAAAAAGGCAATGGTGAAGGCGGCTTTTAAATTTCAGAGTTCGCGTGTTTTTAAAAGCACAGTAATCCAAGCTTTGACAGTTTTGGCTCATAACTAGGGTTTTACAACTTCACGACGCTGGGGGCCACAGGAAAAAATGGTCCAGTTAGTGCTGAAGGATATAAAGGCACTCCACTCCAGGAGGTACAAGTCACGAACGGTGTCCAGGAGTGGCAGGTGCCAATCACAGGAAAGTACGATGTAGAAGCTTGCGGAGCATCAGGAGGGGACGGGATTTTGGCCAAGAAAGGAGGCAAAGGAGCAAAAGTCAGCGGCGTAATAACACTGTTAAAGGATGAGAAGTTAGCCATACTGGTGGGACAAAAGGGATCAACACCGGATGGAAGTCACCTCGGAAGTGGGGGTGGTGGAACGTTTGTTTATCGTTCACCGAATAAATTTAATATAATTATTGTGGCTGGTGGAGGAGGTGGTGGAGGTAAAAAGGATGGTCTACCTGGGAATGATTCACCGGATGGCAGTGGTTCCGATGACACGAGAGGCACTAACGGGGGTGGTGGTAAGGTTTGCCGAGCTCTAGATGCACCCTATATACCAGACTCTGGGGCTGGCGCTGGTTATCTTAATAACGGGGGCTGCATTGAAAGTGGAAAGCTTTGCGGGGCATTGCATTGCAGTAAAGGGGGAATTTCTTTGGGTCAAGGTGGAGAAGGTGCTACGAATTGTGATGGTGGGTTTGGTGGAGGAGGAGCATGTGGTCTTTTCCCTGGGGGAGGAGGTGGATATTCAGGGGGTGGAGTAGCACCTGACAAGGTGGCAGGGGGAGGTGGGTCATACAAGGCCGACAGCACATGGAAAGTGATAAAAGGAGGCTGTGAAGGTGGTGATGGTTACGTTTCCTTTACCGCAGAGGAGTGACTTTTTCTTTAAGCTTGTCTTACTTTAATCTAAACTACAAAGGAGGCTGCGAAGATGGTGATGGTTACGTTTCTTTTCTATTTGAAGATTGAACTATTTAAAAGTTTCAATCAATTCAATTCAATTCAAATTTCACACTCTTATAAAATACCGTAAATGCTCGAATTAGCGCCCAGCTTTAAATAAGCGCCCCGCTTCGAATTAGCGCCCCTCCTAAGGCTCAAAATTTGTAATAAGCGCCCCCCCTCCCCCGAGAAAAAATGAGTTTCGGTACTCGGTACGATATACGAGACGTATACGGTCTATACGGTTCTTTTAATGAAATGCGACATTGTTAAATAGTATAAACAGTAATGTCCTTTCAAAGTCGCAGGGGTTTGATTCTCATTTCCTTGATAGAAATATCCATGTGAGCACATAGCTGCTTCACTTAATTAAGTTCCTCGTAAAACTTTGCTCCCAATCGCCGGCTCCTTGTTACTGTCTTAAAAGTTCCTGGAATTACGAGGCCATTTTCGGTAAAGATAGTGTCATTTTGAGGCTAAAAATTGATAAACGAAATAAGCGCCCCCCTTCAAATAAGCACCCCCTTCGAATTAGCGCCCCCCTCTCGCCTTAGAAAATTAAATAAGTGCCCCAGGCGCTAATTCGAGCATTTACGGTATTTACATTATATATCTAGCCGGATTTATGAAAACCGTACCATCGGACTCCTGGAGCCCACACACCTTAAACTGACTCAACTAAAGCAAATATCGCCAAGAAACTCAGCTCTTACCCATGGTTCTCTTAAGGTGACTCTCTTCTTGGTTCCTGATTAGCAAAAGAAACATTCAAGTCCATCGAAAAGACACTCTGGACTTGGCCATACACTCTAGCTGCTTAAAGGCGCTAAACGACTGACGATGCTTGAGACTTAACCAAGTTCTAAGCAGAGAATTCAAGGTTAAATCACTCCCCCTGACTTCGTCCACCCCCCCAGCCTATCACGTGCTTGAGGGGAATACTTTCATTGGCCAATGGGCCTCAAACATTACAAGAATTTGACATGACAAACTAAAGGCAGACATGACCAGTGCACTGACTCTCCCAGAGCAATACTAACGGAAGGTACCACGCTTTTGAAGCACCCTCCCCCCCTAGGGATTGACATGGAGGCCCCTTTCCAACCCATGGCGAGTTAGCTCAGGTACTGAGTTTCACAATGAGACCAACCAGGAAAGCAAGCCCCCTATGTTTTTTCTCACCGCAGTGACCAGAAACCTGGCTATCGCCAGGTTCCTGTGCGAATATTCTGGCCCGTTTTGAGGTATGTTTTCAAAAAATTCAGCTAGATATAGTAAGGTAGGAATACACTAATAAAGGGGAAGAAGAAGGAAAAAAAGAAAATTAATGGCTTGGATAGAAGTGTACGGTGGTCAGAGGAGCTTAGCTTTCGAGCTAACCACCGCTATATTTTGAGTGGAAATACATAATAAACGTGCGCTTGGTGCCATGGTAACATGGTCAGTAGTCATTTTATCTGAAACAGTCATATTACATTGTTACCTTTGAGAGTTAACTAGAATTCGCTTGTATTCTTTTTTGAACTTATGGTAGCTAAGTGTTTTTATCTTAGTAGGAATCTCCTCCCAAGTTTTGGTTATGGCAAACTTAAATGTGTGTTTGCCGTAGTTTGACCTTACACGTGGTACATGAAAGTTAAGATTTGAGGCACATCTGGTATTGTGTGAGCATGGATATCAGACACCTTTACGAGGTAGTTTTGAAACATTTTAAGTTTTTCGACAAAGCTGCTGGCTTTAGTGTCAATGCCAGTTGGGTCATTTAGGATGCTACTCCAGTCAACTGATTTTATGTCAGTCAGATAGGTCTGAGAGTCAAAATTTGAATAGTCCCTGAAAAATCTCTTTGGTTTTAGCCCTGCTATCTGTATTCTAATGAAACAGAAGGTGGGCAGGTGGTCTGATATGTCCGTGGTCACAATACCAGGTATGATTTGGTCAGTAGAAGCGTTTGTGTAAATATGATCAATAAGAGTTGTGGTATGGCTTGTGATCCTAGTAGGTTTTGTAGGAGGTTACTACTGTATAGCATATCAAGTTAAGGTAGTCTTCAGTTTTGGAATGTGTACCTACTTTTAGAAAGTCAATATTCATGCATGTCCCCTAGGATACTAAGACTTGATGCTTGGATTGGTTTAAAGAACTGACGAGGTTTGCTAGCTGAGATAAAAAAAATTATCAAGATTAGGGGTGCCTGTATATACCCGGTACATCCCACAATTATATGCTAGGTTTGTGTTCCTGTAAGATTTCAATCCAGCAGGATTCTGCCTCAAAGCTTAAATCTGACCTATGAATTGCATTTAGGGAGGATGATATGTAGATACCAACACCACCAGCCATTGTTTTAGAATCAGTACTGTAAAATTTGCAGTTAGGAAAATCTATGTTTGCTGATGAGTTACAATTACTTTTAGTTTCAGTTACAGCAATTACATCAGGTGTATTATATATCAAAGCATTATAAAAGGTCATGTAAGAGCTCGAAGTGTTTTGGGAGACTTCTAATATTGCAATGAAAGAGAAAGATGGAATCATTATCTATATCAGCTTAAAGGTTATTAGCATCAGTTATGGTACTCAGAGCTAAGAGTTGACAACATTAAATCAGGGTCAGATTCCTCGAAAGTAAAAATTCCATTTTTGGAGTGCTACATGGGCTACAACTATTTATAAGGACCGAATCATAGAATGAACTTCTTTCAGTACCGAAAATAAATATACATAAGATTACAGTGCAGGTCTCTTTTACGGCTGCCGCTCGTCAAAGTTGGTTTTTGACAAGTTTTTATTATGTTTTGACAGCTTGATGGGCTCTATATGATGTAGACCATTCAAGAACCAATACGTTTCTGAGGCGAAGTCGCGCAGTCGGAAAGCTTTCTTCTCTACTCCATCAAAACTGCTCGCTCCTCTGTTAAACATTGCGGGGTGCAATTGATTCTGTATAATTATATAAAATCCATCAAATGCAAAAGTCTGGCAGGAAAAGATCTCAGAGACATATCAACAGAATTTGCCGAGTGGCAACGGCAGCGCGATCTTTGACTGTTAATAATGAATTAACCGTAGAAGTAGATAAGCTTAAATTATTGCTCTCAAAGGGCTTCACTGTATTTCATAGTAACCATTAAACCTACTATAGAATTTAATAAAAACAAGAGCAAAACGTTTCAGGGTATGACTCGAAAATAAGTCAAATAAGCCACAATAATTTTTTTTCTTCCCGTTTTTCCTAGCCTCCCACGCAGGCGTTTTAGGGGAGCTCGTGTTTCGTCCCTCCGGACGAAATACGAGCTACCTTAAAAAGGCCTGCGTGGGAGGCTACGTTTTTCGCAGGTACAATGCCCCCCCCTTAATTTTGGACGAAACTGCGAAGACCGGGCCCCTTCCTTATCAAATGGTCTAGATGACCACCCCCCCTCCCTTTTCCTTATCTCAAGATCTGGATCCGCCGGTACTGTTGTCAGATTTCACGAACAATGTAAAAGAGGCTGGTTCATGGCGGCAGCATATGATAAACTTTCCAAATCATGATGATAAAACCGTTCCTCTCGGAGAAAATAACCTTGTAACATTATTTAGGCCTGAAAAGAATAGCTGCATTTCCGTTCACGGCATTTTGCTAACCACTTAAAGACCATAAGAAAAATTAACCGAATATGCTACATGTAATTTGTTAGATCGATCGCTAATGCTTAGAGATTGCTTGCCCAACGCAAAAGAATGAAGCCGGAAAGGTTCGACGCTACACTGATGATTTGGCCCAAACACAAAAAAATGAAGAAAGGTTTGACGCTACAATTTAAGCCGAGCAACTTCTCCGTTGTTGCAAAAACATTTACTGATAAAAACAGTTTTTTTTGGAAGTGATGAAATATCTCTGACCCACTGCGGTTTGACTGTTGACGAAACAAGAAAAGGTGCTCAGCTAGGAAATCATGCAAACTAAGCTATGATCAAACTTTACCGATCTATACCGGAGAACTTTCAGTGCGCCAATAGGAAAACCATACCAGCCAGGCTTCTGTTAACACATCACTGACCGGGTGATTTCGGCGCAATTTCTGTAACGGACGAAGCTGCATGCGCTACGCTGATCTCTACATTGGAGAGTCGCAAATCAGATAGGTACATCAATGCACTGACTACATCATTTCGACTTCGTTTGCTTTCATATTTAGCGTTATTTTCGAAGAGGTTTCTTGGCGGATTGTTATTATTATTATTATTATTATTATTTATTATTATTATTATCATTATCACTCCGCTGGAGCGACCACTTTATTTTATCCCGTTCATATTCATAACGGCACAAGCCGCAGAGTTGTCTCCTAACCGCTAAATATTATTATGTAATAATAATAATAATAATAATAATAATAATAATAATTTTTAAAAAAAAAAAAAAAACTTTATTCATAGATTAAAAAAAAAATAGACTATTTACAGATTCAAGAATATGAAATATTAAAATATATACCCTATGTACATTCTTCTTGTGTACGAAAGAGAATTGTCGTAAAATGACTATCTAAAGACTTCTAATAACAATTATAAAAAGCATCAAAAAGTTAATAACTTAAATTCTGGCTTGCCCACTTTCCGATGTAATGACAATGTCAGATATATTGGCTGCTCTTCTCTTGCTCCTGGTTCCTCTGAGACACAGCAAGGCTGATCGTAGGATGGCAAAGGATACTTTCGCCCTTATCCAAGATATGGTTGTAGCGTAGTCATCTCCTTTCTTTAACGCAAGTAGCTCTGCGAGAGGCGGCTATGGAATCTCTTGCATTCATCGGCCATTCCACCTGTGCTTGTAAAGACTAATGGTGTGAATGTCCCTTGCTCCACTTCCAAAATAATTATAATAATAATAATATAATATCTATCTAGGATAACCCTTCAGTACAAAGTATTGTTTTCAACGGTTTCCTGCTGACTAAGAAATAAAAATTAATAAATGATAATTACTAAAATATTATGAAATAAAATACATATTCAAAAAAACAAGCACGCACTAAGCTAAAAGCCTTCTAAAACTACGATAGAAATTACAAGTAATCTGAATCGTCCAAGGCTTGCCTAAATAAAACTCTAGAATTAATGTTTCTTAAACTTTAAGGCAATGAATTAAAAATCGAGGCTCCTAAAAATAAAAACTACACGGCGCACAAAATACAGTTTGGTCTTTGGCAGTTCCGCTGTTTTCTCAATGTTTCCATCATTTAAAGCGTTATGATGCAATCGTTGAAAAATAATTCTTATATATAATGGAAAAGGCAGTCAAATACAAAATAGCACGCTTTCTTTTGTAAAAAGTTGTCAGTTGTTAAATTTCGAAGATCACAGTTCTGCTGCGGACTGGTAGTTGTTTTTCTTTCTCTGCACATGCAATAACTATAACATAATTTCCGTTCGCGCAGGTTGTCTCTTGTCGGCGGAAGGAACACATTATAGCCAGATAAAGGTTTGATGTGTTTACAAAATGACCTCTATCTACGCAATTCAAAATGACACTCGTCAGTTAAAGTAAATTCATAAAGTGGGAATGACAGGTAAATTGGAAGATATTCGAAGGCATAATGAAGTAAATTGTTAGAAAGGAAATGTCCCGTAAACTGGAAGGTATACCAGCAAGTAATAATTCGTTTCCCCTCTTAAACTGGAAGTAATTATGCAGGTGATTCAGTAGAAGAACATCTTTCGTATACAACACACAAATCTTAATGGTGAATAGGAAATGGTTTTAAACTTTCTTGTGCAAACGGTGAGTTTGCTTTGTAATTAACAGCCTCAACTCTCATCCAGTTATGAAGATATAACAATTTCCAAGTTATGGCTTCCAGCAATTTTGTGACGGCTTGTCTTGTTTTCAGCTCTGAAAACTTACTAAGTGTATAAACAGTTACGGAAAGGGATTTACTATGATTTGGTTCTTCACCTCATTCACACTTTTACAAGGGATTTTAGTTGATGTAACTGTCTTGATAGCTGCTGCGGAAAACCCTCGATCAGCATACTTCATAACCCGAGAAAACAAGGAGCTGGTTGGCTATGCTGTCGAGAAATTTGACTCTTTCAGCTTTTTTTCGTGTAGCTATTCTTGCCTACAAAATTCGTGGTGTACGTCTACAAACTTCAATAAGTATTCTGAAGGGAACGAGGAAAAGGGAATTTGCGAACTTAACAAGCACAATGACACCCCTATCGAAGACGTCGATCTTATAGATCAGCCCGGAGCGACTTTTTCGATGATTTTGAAGGTGAATATCTCTTTACAGATGATAGTAACTTAAGTAAAAGAGAAGAGAGTTTGATAATTAAGATTACAAACTTATACTCTGATAGAATCCATATACATCCTGCACGTAGCTGACAGTGTAATTTAATTCCTGTTTTGGTTGAAACGGGGGATTAATGGCGTTCATTTAGCCTGTTTCCACTGTTTTACGGCTGGTTTTACTCACAGTAGAGTCGGAGACAGAGTGCCGTCATCAGAAGCCCAGAGACAGTTATGATTTGTGAAATTTAAACAAACGACGCCGCTTATGGCTTCGACGTTGACGATCAGCGGAGTCGCAAAGAGAAGCGAAAGAATTAACTATATACGCGGAAAATAAACCCTGGTTGTTAATTGTTAATAGTCCGTTTCGCTGAAGCTTGCAACACCGACAAACTAGTTTTTATTTCATCGTATCGTAAACGACGAAATCATAAACGGAGTAGGACAAATTGCGACTTCTTTTCCATAGAGCTTATGCCGGACTCCGCTTAGGGATCCGATTCTTTTTTACGAGGTCATATTCAGTCTAGGGTTTCAACTAGGAACAGTGTGGCACTTGCAAAATTCAAAATGTGGAGAATTTCTGGTGGTACAAAGCCAGGTTTCCTGCGTTATTGGAAGGTGATCACGTTTTTGTTCCTGAATAACCCATTCACAAATAATAACCATTTATTGGATCAGGTTTTTGTGATATCCGGAATAATAAAGTCAAGGTAAGTGTTATCAGCCGAGGCGAAGGCCGAGGTTGATAGCACTTACCGAGACTTTGATTATTTAGGATATCACAAAAACCGAATCTAATAATTCTTTTATTATACATTGTTTTGAAGAACATGGCGAAAACGTCGCTTAAAAGTGTATTTACGTTCTTCCAGTCTTTACTGCGAGTTTTCCTACCCACTTCATTTATCAAAAATAGGCGAATCCCCCATGGAGTTCAATAGACCTTACACGGTTTTCGACGCTATCTTTACGAGTGGGCAAACGCGTGACAAATTAGAGTGTTTGTTTGAGAATCTAATGTCGAATGATTTACGTAGAATGGCTGTTCTGAAAAAATATTAATTGTAAACTAAAGCTTCACTCCTAAGGAATCTACTGAAAAAAATAGAGGGCGTTACATGCGCTAGAAGACCTAAAACCAATTTTTAAAATTTTCTTTACATTTGTCTGTAAGAAAGTCCGACGGAAAATTACAGACAAATATATTAGTAAAATCTAAAGCAAGCCTCCGGAGAAGATTACCGCTCCGCCCCCCCCGCAAATTTTTTAGTACAATCCTTTGTTTTGTAGCTTTAGTTTACAAGTCATATTTTTTTCAGAACAGCCGTTTTACAGAAATTATTCGGCCTTAGCTTCCCATACAAACACTTATAATTTCTCACAGTTTGCCTACTCTTTCAGACGGCGTCAATAACCGTGTCAAGGTCTATTCCTAGGATCCCTATAAAATTTCGTCGTCGCTCGTTTGAGTCCTCCATAACAGGTACAATTAGGCAATTTCACGCAGTAGTCCGGCAAAAACGGCAAAGAAAGGCACAAATAGTGCGATGCACGTGCAAAGTTGTTTAACCTTCAAAACTTAGTGATTTTTTGACGTTCTCGTTGCCATCGCGTCGACGTATCGGAAAGTCTTTATAATTATTTTAGTGGCCTAAATAAATAATATTAGTGGCCTAAATAAACAATTATATGAAGCGCCAGAACTGAGTTCTTAGATTCAAACTGAGACATATATAATTTTGTGGTGGCCCCGTCTTAATTATTTGCAAACTGAATCTTTTGATTGAGAACAAGTCTACCCTGTTGTTCTTGCAGGGAAAAGAATCGGCTTCAACTGTTGAAGAACAAGGTGAGACACTTATTGCGTGCGTGGTTATTAATTATGAACAGTCAAGAAACTTTATTTTAAAAAATAAATACGCGTCGGTTTTCGAAAAGCTGATCAAATATACCCGTTGTAAATCTTTTTGTTTAATAATCGTAACAGGACTGAGTGGAGTCCAAATCGGCCTGTAATCCTATGATTGTTAAACTAAATTGGACCACGTGACGAAAGTCTGACTTGGTTAATCATCACCGAGTATGATTATAAAGTTATAACTATAAGAGTATGATTAGTATTATTAAGATGAAAATTATAATAATTATAATTCTGTTTAATTAAAACACAACATCACCAAGTGAGACTTTTCGCTGGAAGCAAACTACAAGAAGAACCCATTGAAATGCCTTTGTTCTATTACAACGTGAGCTATGGCGTCTACTGTTCTATTACACTGCTATTTTCTGCTCAGTTCCTATTAATGTTCAAACTTAGGCTACTGATAGCCAATCAGATTAAAGAATCCTGTCATAGTTTTGACTGGTTCAAAAACTACGTCATAATAAAAACGCATTTAATATTACGCACAGGTTCAAACTTTCGCAACGTCAGCATGGGATTAGCTTTCTGTCTTTTGTTTCCAGGCCCTAGTTATGTATTCACCACCCTCGATGCAAAGGAAGAAACTGGACCAAGAAATACTTCCGGTTATGTCGGAACATCACTGGAAGGTAATGTCATTTTATACAGAGGAATCCAAATTTGGTCCGTTCCCGCAACCGGAAGTTACGTCATTGAAGCTCTGGGTGCCTCTGGGGGAGACAGCCCCCGTCAAATTCAGTCCGATCGGCAGAGACGTGGTGGCTTGGGAGCGAAGATCAGAGGAACAGTCCAACTTCAGGAAAGAACGATACTTAAAATCCTGGTAGGACAAGAGGGTGGAAATTCTTCAAGTGCCGGCGATTCGCCAGGGGGAGGTGGTGGTGGAAGTTTTGTCACGATGTTAGATAGCACTCCCTTAATAATTGCCGGTGGGGGAGGGGGAGGAGGAACTGCACGTGATCAGTTTACGGATGGAGATCCGGGTCAGGCAACAGGGGATGGGACCCAGTGTGGGGGAAGGGAGGGCGCTGGAGGACAAATTTGTAATGCTGACACAGGGAGAATTGATTTAAGTCTAAAGTCTGGAGGAGGAGCAGGGTTAAATGGAGAAGGGGCAAGGGGTGGTACAGGAATTTTAATAGCCGCCCAGAGTTTTATAAACGGGGGAACCGGTGGGATAGGTCCGTCAGCCAAGGGAGGATTCGGTGGAGGCGGTTATGCCACGGTACTTGGAGGCGGTGGGGGTGGATATTCTGGTGGGGGAGTTGTCGGAACTCTAACAAAAGGCACTTCAGGGGGAGGGGGATCATATAACAACGGTAAAGAACAGCTGAACATATCCGGTATTAACAAAGGTGATGGGAAAGTTATAATCAAGTTCATGAATTAACGTTCTCTTTCACTGTCAGTGCTTGACATATGGGCGGTATATAGTTTATGATAATTATGATGAATTCTGTAAAAAAAGCTTAAAATTATTTTGTGATAATAGTAAAAAAGTACAACATGCCAAGCGATCTGATTAACATTGTGATAGAAGTGTGTGAACAAGGGAATTTCGGTCGGGCCTGATGGACAGGTTGGACGTATGTTTTAGATAGAATATATGATAATTAAAAGCCAGGGCTCGAAGTTATCTTTTTAGTGCACTTGCAAAGTTTTGCTAGTAAGATTTTTTTCCGCTAGCAAACTGGTGAGACCACAAGCAAATTATTTCCCTTTGTTTGGGAGACATGGATAATTCTAACTCGCAATCGTTTGCTAGTGGATATTTTTCTTACTCGCAGATTATCAAAATCACTCGCATTTTGCGAGTTTGCGAGCGTTAATTTCGAGCCCTGAAAGCCACAGTTCGATAGAGATTTAGGAGGTAATAAAAGGAAGTTACACTCTTAACAACCTCAGACTTTCCGTCTTTTTTTGATTTTTTGGAAATTGGTGATGAGTTTGATAAGGTACTTTGAGCCACCCACTCTATGTTAACGTTATCTGGCAATTGGAGTTTGTAGATGGTTTAGTATTGTACTTGTTTTTTTTTTTGCAGTTTTTTTAAACTTAATTAACGTAACAAGATATCCGGAGAATGACTGACGTTTAGATCCGTCCTGATCTTGCACTTTTTGGGAGAGATAGCTACTACGCCTTTCCAATTTCCTGCTATGATATAAAGCTTATAGAAGGATCAAATATTTAAATTACGTATAAAGGAAATAGATAAACGTGAGACATTGTGTATCAACGCAAAAATAAAACAGAAGACAACGACAACATAAATATATTTGCACTCATCTGTGAAAACGTTTGGACAAGAAATTTTAGAAAGGAATTATAAGTGCAGAAAAAGTTCATACAGGCAAAAGAGGTTACAGTGATAATGGTGAAGATGGAGGAAAATAATAATTCACGTATATGTCTTGATAATCAAAGTATTCAGTGTTTTCCAAACTTGAGGCGTCATCACTAGACCTGAGTAAACAAAAACTAATGTTAGAGAAAAAAATCAGGTCGGAATTGGTGACGGGTCCTATTCTTTAGATTGGAGCATGCGCTGCATTTCGTTGGCTTATGATTATCCGGGAATATATCCCTAAGATTATGACGCCACCTTAAATTGCACGTGGAAAGAACGTTTTGCGCGCTAGGTAGCGGCAACCTGTTTGCGGAGAACTGGACCCACGCTCAGTGACAGGCTCGTTCCCAGGATTCTATCCTAATTGTAGGAGAGAACCCTTGTTCAGTCGCACCTGTTTTGGGCTTTTCAAAAACTTTCGAGCTCCAATGTGGTAAATGCACCCTTGATATTGAAATTACCTCTTTAACAGATAGACACAGATGAAAGAACAAAGCTAATGCTCCTTCTCGTCACCAACAATCACATCCTTGGCGACTTGAATTTCATCCAAAAGAGACGACCTTCGTGATTTATCCATTCTATTCTTGATCCTGCGGCGATTGTCCTTCGATTGTTCCATCTTTTCATTTTCATCCCAGTTTGGCGTTATTGCCGAACAGGCAGATTGCACCTCTTCCACAAAAGATTTTCGTCTTTTACGCTGACCGCTCGTTGTCGCAGGCAACGAGCTTGACTCCTTAATCTTGCGACGTCGCTCCGAAGCCTTCTTCTCAAACTCCTTGTTTTTTGCGCAGTCATCGATGACTGCTTTCGCAACCAACAGGTTAGCAACAAGAGATTCCCTCTTTTCAGAAGTTTGTTTTTGAATGATCTTTCTTCTTTCGGCATTACGACTGTCTCTCATCTTATCTTCAGCAATAATGCTTTCCCGCAACCTCCTCTGGCTCGGATCCAGGTATTTCTTTGCTTGGGTATCCGTTGGAATTCCACTGGACTGATCACCTATGAGTAGAAAATAGCAGTTAAAATCAGGCCATTGTACATGCTACGTTAATAAACCTACCGCGAGGAGGCCTCAAAAGAACCATTTAAACGAGACATAAATTCGTGATAATCTGCACTGAAAGTACGTTAGAATGTAATGGTTGCAAAAATGCTTTTGTTCCTTCACCTGGAGTTTGATAAAACTGCTCTGCGGGCTGTCCATATTTGGGCCACTGAGGGATTGAAACACTGTCGGAAGCCCTTTCAGAAGGATAGCTTCTATCAATCCTGATACTTGACAATTCATTTCCGCACCGTCCAGTCTCCACGTCCTGCTTCTCCGTACGACTTAATAAATATTGGAAATATTTTCGTACTGGCCTGCAAGACGAAAATTTCATGTGGATACCTAGAATAGTCTCATTAGCTGGGTCCCCGAGATTCTCATCTCAAGATGAGACAATATTTCATTATTTTAAGGTAACAATTTTACCTTTATGAAAAAGTAACAACGACCAAAAACGAAAATGAAAATTTTCTTTAGAAAAATAACCAAAGTTACCGCTTAGAATAAGTTAGCAGTTGGTTAATAAACTGTCATAAGTCTGTTCGGGGAAAACATTATCCTCTTCAACGACGATGATCATGAATATGCCAGCCTGATCGTGAGCATACGAAATAACAGCCTTTGTTAATTAATTAGTCAGAGTAGTCACTTACAGAAGGCGCTAACACTGCACAACTCTGAAATGTTACGCTCGTAAATAAGATAGAGGCAATGCATGATTAAAGTGTCACGCCTAAACGTGAAAGTTGAGCGAGGTCCAAATTTTTATACCTTTCATACTTTGTCTTGAGTTTTTATTTATGCGCCTAAAATTAAATTAAGCGAAATTACGCGACAATGGAAATCCACACTTAAGGAGACATACTACAATAGCCATCAAATAATTCCTAATAAAATTGATTTCAGTTGCATTATAGATGATGCCGTCACCATTTTTGTATATTGGAGGTTGATGAGGCTTTTTTTGCTCATCATCAAATTGTTATCAATACTGAACAGAGGCAACAATTACCATCGAGTTCAATATATTTACCCTTGCGGCCTTTTTTCTTGGTATACTGTAAAAATTCAGTATTTTTTCTAGAAACTTACCAAATTGCGAATAACAGAATGATACCCAGCAAAAGAACAAATATTGTTCCACCAAGGATGAAAACAACGGTTAGAGTTCTCGCCAGACCTTCAACATCCCCTTTTCCTTGTTCGCGTGTAGCCCGCCTTTCCCTTACATCCACACCATCACGACTTCGGACATGAGCCATGGATAAACCTTTCCAGCGGAGGTCACCAGAAATTGGCAGTGTGAAGGATTTATTCCTGTTTTTCTTGGTTTTCGCTTGATGAGAGCTTTCGTATTCCGGTGCAGCTCTTTTTCGTCTTGGATAATCATTCCCTTTCTGTAAATCGATGGATAAAGACTGCTTATTGGAAAAAATGAAACAAGAAATAGGATTGCACTAAGAATAGCCCTGTTAATCAAATTTAACATGACTATCATGTGAATGACTGAATATAAGGGGGCTATGATCAACTGACGTGGTACAATTCACTTTGACTCTAAAATAAGATGACCACACAGTTTGTGAAAACGTCAATCATAGTCAGAAAAAGATCTATTCGTTCAGGCGTACACCCACCCCATGTTCCACCTACTTAGGAAATCGGTATTAATCACCTTTCTGTTGCTGACAGGATCTTAGAGTTAAATCTACTCACGTGTGCAGAAGCAAATTGTTCTACCCCTGTAAAGACCCTTTCCACGGAATCGCTGTTTGTCTCGTCCTCGAGTCCAATTGCACCCGGGGAGGTGTCACCTACAGACAGCTGTCCATCATCTTCATCGTATTCCTGAGACTCTCCAGAACCAAAATTGTGAAGTTCCAATTCATGTTTACCCATTGGAAGTCCTTTGACATTTGAGAGTAATTTTGTCTCGCCATAAGCAATTTCGGGTTCCTTTTCAAGCAAATGTACACTCTTCCGTTCAAGGGGTGTGAGAAAGACATCTGCCCATGGCTCTTGTTGAAAATCCTCATCATCTGGCCTGTCCACCTTCTCAGCCCTTTTTTCTCGAGTGCTCATTTTGGTCCTAGTGTGTCCAGGATTACCTGAAGCAACTGGCAGAGAATTCAATAACTGAACCATTTTAGCGAAAGGAGACTTTCCCGCACCGAGGATCTTGGAGGTAAACTTCATTTTATTTGAAATATCTCCATCTTTGGTGTTTGGTTGAAACTTTTCTCAGCCCCTCCGGGGATATAAGGGATTTTCCTGGACTTGTCGGCTAATAACATTGCCCTCGGTCCCTCCCGACTCTAAAGGCAATGCGCCAAAGTCGTCTTCATCCTTGTTAAGACCATATGTCTTGGAATCACCTAGAAATAAAAAAAAAGTAAGCATAGAGCTTGTTATCTCGAAATAAAACTACTGTAAATCCTCTTTTAAGCTCCCCTCTTCCTTCTCAAATAAGCCTCCTTTCCACCCTAGTTATTCTTCACTAATAAATGATAGACTGCACGAATCAATCATGACTGTAAAACTTCGAATTCGTGTGGACTGATCCGGGTTGAATTATTTACCGGCTGGAAGTTTGGATTTGATTCTGATGCTCGGCTGCATGACCTCCAACCTTCTTGTACTTAAGCTTTTCCACTTTGTTTTCTATAGTTCTTTTTGGAGACTGATACCTTCGTCTTTCTAAACAAAATATGCCTTCATCTCAAATACCCCCCCGGCTCTATTAAGCCTTCCCTCAAAGTGGGCTTGAAATACCCCCCCCCCCCCCGGGGGTTTAATAGAGGATTTACGGTAAGCCGAAATTACGGGATATGATTTATATTGCATCTCTACGAACGTGATATAGTAGAAAAGGCGATTTAAATAGCAGACACAAAATTATGGGTCCTTTAAAGAATTTAACCACAGGAAAACTCGCCTAGATTTGATCAATTGGGCGAGGCTACCTAAGCACAATAAAGTTTAAAAAAAAACCATTAAAAAACGGTAATGATAATCTTTTTAGCGACGTTATCGCTCCCGTCGTCGTTGAAGTTGCTTAAATTCCATTGTTCCTTAGCCGCGGTGGGGAGTGAAAGGAAGTGGCGGTATTCGCTGGTTAACAATTCGTTGTTTACTTTTTCTTCGTCATTTTTCGTTATTTTCCTTCCTGCAAAACAAGGTCGAATTAGGAAGTTCCACGTCTGTGTCGTGTGGAAATGTTCTTAAACGTTTGGTGAGGAAAATTCACGTTGTCGTTGAAAGGAGAATTGCAAAGAAATGTATCAAAAAGGTTGAAGTGCAAGTAGTCATCTTGACATAGCAACCTCAAGCGTCAAGCGGCCCTGATAGTATACGAGAAAATTTTTTCACACCGAGGACGGGTTAAGCTGTTGTTAGTTTATTACAACGGAACGCCCCAGAAATACAGCAACGTTTCTTCGAACAAACCACCAGCAGCTGTTAAACTGCCCAAAACAGATGTTCTGTGAGGAAAACGTATTGTTTAAAAAGCTTTAGCAGAATCAGTGGAGACAAAAACCCTATTTACGTTTTCTACCCCAACCTTTTGCAAGCGCAAATACGCGAATGATGAAGACTTTATTTCCACTAAGAAGATTTCAGTTTTCCACCTAAACGTTTCCAGAACAGCAATTCTTCATTGGACTCAAAACAAACTTACGGATTGAACTTGTCTATGGGACTCGGAAATGTAAAGGAGAAAGCTGCAGACAGGAAAGGGGGGCAATTTAATCATACTCATCACTTATCGAATAGGCACGTTTTCTGCGTTCAAAGTGCCAATTTCAGTCAAACCCCGTTAATAAAAAAAAAATGACACTGAGGGCCATAGATAGTGTCCGTATTAAAGGGGTGTCAGTACTAAGCAGGTTAAATTAAGAGAAAATGTAAGGGCTTTCTTTGCCCTGGTACAAGGGAAACTGTCCGTAATCATGAGGTGTCTGTATGAGGCAGGTGTACGCAAAGCGGGGTTTTACTGCACTTGCGATGGGAAACGTCATTTAAGGAAAAGGGCAGGAACATTTTTTTCAGTGTTGGCAGTGCCGCAAACGATAATACGAAAGAAGGAGGCCTAAAAATTATATTCGACTGGTGACGTTATTTGAAATTATGAAATCGAGATAAGGCTAGCTTCCAAAACCGACTTATGGTTTTGTTCCCTTGTCGCTTTTCAGCCGTTCAGCTAACAGTTCATCAGAGAAGAAACTCACCTTGCGCAAGGAATGCAAACGTAAACGCGATAAGAAATACGCAATAAGACTTCATATCTTATCCTCTTTTTCCACCATTTTCCTCGAAGAAAATTATTCTGAATTGCTTTTCCATTAATTGTTACGTAATATAGTTATAATTAAGACGCGCTTGCTCGACTTACCATAATCCACCGGTGGTGCGATGGAACGTCTCGCGCGACACTTAATTTTGCGCGTGGTCGTTATTAGAGACCTTTATATTCGAGAACTAAAACGACTACAAGTACGAGAATTCATTTAAAGTTTTTTCACATATTGTCAAAAAATAAACACCCCGGAATTCATCATTATACTTTTTTCCCCCAGAAAAGTTGGACAAGGTTCTCTCATTTTGGCAGCTCTGTCGTTCCATGAGCCCTACCAGTTATTAGCTGTAGATCACGAACACAATCGATGAAATCTTGTCACGAGGAGACAAATAGCTTCAAAGCGCCCCAAACAATCAACGCAACAGAATCGTTTTTGGCAGATAGCCTTCCTGTTGTAGTTCACAACTTTTTCTAAAGAGGTGAACGAAGCAAGGAGGCGAAAAAACTGAATTACAATCAAGGTCATAATTTGCCCCGACAAAGAGCCGAATGAAAAAAGCGATTTGCTTACCGAGGTGGGCAGACTGAATTAAGGTTTTCCTGTTCATGTAAAATAGTTATTTGCATTGATCTCATGAAGTAAAAAAGTGATTACACCAGGAACGAATAAATGTACAATTCCGTGACAATTCACTAAATCAAAGATGCTTTCTGAAACCTTTCTTTTAAATCTGTCTTTATTGTGTATTTGTAAATAATATATTGTACCTAAGTTTAGGATATCACATGATCTTCACAGTTGTAAGATTAAAAAAGGAGAGAGTAAATTGTTGTCACCCTCCCAGCCGTTTTTTGTCTCTAGCATTACGTGACGGGACAAAAGGGAGACTATGATGTATAAAATACATAGTTGAGTTATTTTGTATTTTTTTTAAGCTTGTTTTTTTAATCTTCAGCTTTGTATCCGTGACTATAATTCGGAACGTGCTTAATCTTAGAATTAGTTTCAAATAAAAACAAACACTGAGCATAATGCAAGCAATGAATTCCTAAAGATTTCAATCAATAACAACAAGCCTTAATATATCTCACTAATATATTATCCATATGTTTTTAAAGTAAACGTTGTATGATGAAAGGTTGCATATAAAATGCACACTCAAAAATCAGTTTGGATTATTGATACTGTTCCAACCCCTTGATATTTCTACATAGGGCCGCTCTTCACTTCCAATATGGAACCTCTAGTTAGTTCCGTAGATAAGTAAAGTTTATTGATTGATTGCCTGATAGAAAATGAGCAAAGTTGCACGTGGAAGAAAAACATTCGCGCGCATTTTGATCCTTTTAGATGCGCGCGAACCTTGCACATGGAGGCTATGACGTATTTCCGGTAGTTGAACCAACCGAAAATCGAGACTCTTTCTGCTAAATGCTTGTGCCCGGCTTCTCGCGTTCAGTTTAGGTTGCGTTCTCCTAACGTCGAACGCAATAGTAACTAGCTTTAACCAGAATCAAATACATTGTAAAATTTTACAAAATTTGATTCTCTATACTAAAAATGAATTAATAAACAGACGGAAGAGAATCGTGCTTCCGCTACCTTCTCTTTAAATATTTGTAACCAGAGGCTCAAGAGGTTTACATAGGGACTTAATGAGGCATGCTAATCTAGCTTGTCAAGGTAAGACCTGTAAGAGTTCGAGTGCGATTCTTGTTATGTGGACAAAGGAAATATTCAGTCATTAGCATGAAAATTTCCTTAACCTTTCTTTGAAGTACGTTTTCCGCGAGGATTTGTCTTCTATTTAGAGTTACTCTTGACATCTCCCGAATAGAAATTGAACTTCAGGAAGAACGTTATTCACGTTTTTTTTTTCTTTGCCAAACATCGAGCAAAAGCTACACGAGAAGAAAGCTGGTTGAGCTTGGAAGAATTATCTTATTCTACAAAATTTTAAAGTCTTAGTTCATCTATCTATCTGGCTAGGGGAAAGCTATAAAAAAATTTATTGACGGCATTGGCAATTTAAACAATAACAGATTACGAGCTAATCGATTAACAGAAAAGTTGCCTGAGCGTTTCTTTCACAGCTTGCCTCATCTCGCTGATCTTCCAGCAGTACAACAATGGATTTAATGATGAATTTAGGAGAACTAAAATGATTGTAAATTGCCTAGCAATGTAAAGTGATAAAGTCATCCCTATTTGACCTGTTAAAACTTCGGCAATATAATGAGGTAGATAACAAATAATCAATGCAACAAGTACCCATAATGCACTGTACACTCCTTTTCTGTATCGAACCATATTCAGTGGCATTGCTTGTCTCGGTTGCCCTTCAGAAACGTGACTCTGAACATGAATTTGATAACAACGCAGAGCGAGGAAAATTTTTGTGTAAGAAAAAAATAACGTAAATAGACAGATAGATACAGTTATGGCAAGATAAGCGTTGCAGAATGGCCCAACAATGGATAAGACCCATATAGCGACTACTATTATATTTGCTCTCTTTAGAGTAACAGCTTCTTTATATTTGAACCCCAACAACAAAGCGAGAAGTCTGTCCACGCTTATTGCAGTCACTGTTACTAAAGATGCTAAGCACAGTATAACACCTGAAATAAAAGCTGTCAGGCCTGTGTAATAGCAAATAATCCATTTTCCGTTCACCTCGGAAAGCGAATAAGCCGAAACCAAGGGCTGCACAACAACACCAACACAGAGATCAGTTATCGTTAGGTTACGATACAGGATTTTGGACGCTGGTTGAAGTGAGGTTTCCTTGCGTAGAGCGGAGAGGATAAGAGTGTTCCCCAGCAATGCAGTAATGGAAAGAAAAATATTAAGCACTGCAATGAAGATGAGGAGGTCGTTAACTTCAGCAGCGAATTCCGCCTCCGGAAAACAGTGCAATTTTGTGTTTGTCAGGTTCCTCGTTTCATTTTCCGTAAAATTCTTGGTTAGTTCTTCCATCTGCCCGCAATGCAAGTACGTGCAAATAAAATAAGACTCCAATATTCTATCTTGTAACGGCAGTCAATCTGCTGGTAGGCCTAGTAGAGAGCTGGTGTTGCGATTGTTATGATAAGCAGAAGGGAGTTGTACTCAGTATCTTGGAAAAGGAGGCTTCGTTTCCTTGTAATATAGGTAGTTATGTGTAGCATAGCTGGTGTTGCAATTGTTGTACGTAATTAGCAAGAGGAAGTAATATCCATAAAAACCATTTGGTAATAAGAAACTGGCTTCTCTGTAAATAGCAACACACGTTTTATTTTAAAACTGGTTTCGTAGCATTTTTCATATTAATTGGCTGGGATGTCACATATACGTTAGGTATACTGACACCATTCTTCGCTTTGTTCATGATCACTCAAGAAAACTTTTTTGGGTCATATAAATCCTCTATTGAACCTGTTTTTTCGTTCAGAACGGCCTTTTTTAGTCTTAATGGACCTCGTGTTTATCTTGGCGAAAGGGAACTTGGCCAATATCATACAGACATCTTGACTTCGCGTTTGGTCAATAAACGTGTCTTGTTCCTTAATTTGTTTTAGTAACAAACAGTGAAAAATTCAGATTCAAATATTAACTTTATTCTTTTAGGCTTATAACCTTAAGTTGCGAACTAGAATTCGAATGCTATTGTTTTCTAAGATTTCATGTAATTAGGTTTTTTAACCTTTCAGTTTGAATATTTATGTTGAGAAAATGACGTCACAAATTGGAGGAATGTTTTGTATTTTTATTACGGCACTAAAATAACCGACAAGGAGTACCAAACTTGAAAAAATCCACAAATTCACTCAATCGCCATTTTTTTTGGCTAAAATTAACTTACAATGGCGAAGCCCACAGGACAGCAACGCACGTAATAAGCACACTTTTTGGTACACTTTTTTCGGCACCATTGCACGGCGACGGCTTGAAATTTCCTGATACGAAGTTTCATAGAAGAGGTAAACTCAAGACTTTCGAGGTCCAAAGACCTCGCTTTCAAAAAGAGACAAAGTGCAAAACTTTTCTTATGTTAATGCATGTTATTTGCATGCAAATAAAAATTTGTTCCGATGCGGTCTCCAGTTGAACTTCGTTTATAGCATTTTGGAGAGGGTCTAAGTTACGTTATAAAAGCGTAAGAGAAAATATTTTTTGTATGGTTTCATAGCGTAACATTATAAACACTGTACTCGAAGTGTTGAGAGAATTCTCGAAAGTTAAACTCGAGACGAACCAAATTCTCCCAACATTGGCCCCATGTAAGGTAGAATCCTGGAAATTCTTGCTTGTTGAATCCGCAGTCTTAAACCAACACATTATCAGAATGTAAATCACGTTAAATATTCAAAAGCATATTATACTTACTTACGAACTGAGCATAAAATATTTATTATTAAGAGATTTTTTGAGGTTCTGAGGTTAGCTGACATGTAAATAAAATTAGAAGCTTCACATGGTTCCTTCATATATCATAAAAATGATGCAAATAAACTCGAACATATCAGTACTTAACTGGGGCTTTTAGACGTACCTTTTAAATCCTGTCTTTTGAATCAGTGTTTTGCTTTTGATGGTTGAATAAATATTTATCAGCTAAAAAAGGCTCAAATGCAAACACTGTATCTCAGTGCTTCTTATTTTGAAAAGTTTGCAAGGCCTTTTTAAAAGTCTTGTTTGATTAAATCTAGAAACTCTTGAGGCTGATGATGAAATCTTATGGTCACCATTTAACGGAAGTTTAAAGTAAAGTCAATGCAAGTTTACATCTTAACTATCTTAGACCTCCAGACCTCTTCCTAAGCGGGTTATTTTAAATAGAATGTGATGAATATTTTTTTTTTCTGGTTTATCCCATTTATGATAAAATGAAACTGTTCACGTTAAACAAGCCTTAGGCTTACAAAAATAGCTTAGAACCAGGGAGTAATTGAAAAACGGACGAAAGTTATTTGTAAAAACTTTGGCCTTAGGCTAGAAGCACCACAGGAAGGCATGCAAGTAATGCAGTCTAAATAATTTGCATATAGTCAATAAGCTAAGTTCAACAAATTAGCAAAGAAGCATTCAAGTGCATAATTGAGAAGCAACATGATTCGACTGCTTTCCCTGTACGTAGCTATCCTGGAGTAATCAAAACCATGCTTCTTGCATGGAAACATGTTGTTTTCTTGTCCGTGATAGCACTAAAAGCTTCAAGTAGTTTTGTAAGTGAGGGGCATCTCAAGCTATATGGCTATGTAAGTGTCCTTTACAACTCCTTCGCTTAATTTGAAAACATCTTTAATCTGTTGTCTTACGACTTCAGAATCTGTTGCTTGCTTTGCTTTTCAAACGCCGGGGAAACCGTCGCGTAACCAAACATTCCTATTTTTTTTTTTGTTGAAAGAATTTTGCTTTCTTAGCAAGCTTCTGTGGGAACGCAAGCGGACCTGTTGTGCAGTACAAACTCTCCTATCCGCAGGTATTGAAGCAAGTGATCTATTTAATTATCGATTAACTAACTGTCATACAACCGTTTTGTCGCTAAAGATTTTAAGTTGTTACATGCACCCCCGGTCCATCTGTCACTTGTTACTTTAGTTAGAGTCTGTATCTAAAGCTAGAACATAGTTTTATAGGGAATCCACAGCAGATCTTTGAACCATTCAAAACAGAGTTTGTAGCCAACCAAAGGTCCATAACAGCCATATTATTATTTGTATATTGCGGTATGATTGACACACAATAATTGACATTACGTACAGTTTCGGGACAACATTCTGCACAAATAGGGTAAAGATCTAGTTTAAATCAATGGCAACTTTAATTACTTCCTTCTCTTTCTTTCTTTGTTTTTTTTAATTTTTAACAGCTGTTACCGAACTTTCATTAATCTGTCAGACAGTACCTTTTGGCGAAGAATAGTTAAGAATTGTCGGCCTAATTTATTCGTCTTCCACTGACAAAAAAGTATCGCATACTGTCTGTCGAAAAACTTAATTAAGAGACGAGCCCGTATATAGCAATATGGGTTGCTACACTGTAGCTACGTACTGTCATAGCAAATTTAATCAGCTGGAAAACAACTTTTCTCGGTCATAATCGCACAGGTAAACGTTTATGGCCTTTTATACCATTCTATGGAATCGAAACTGCATATTTATGCCCCAAATTACGTAAGCCCCTCAAACTCGTAACACACACACAGACAACAAACTCCGATAAATCTCCCCTCCAGATACAAGCCCCCGGGGCCTTGTACTCGGAAATTGCCCTCAAATTCAAAATAAAACAAAGCAAAACTGTACAGTAACAGATAAATTTTTACAATTGCCAAATAACTATTACGTGTGCCAAATGATTGCAGTCAAAATGCAACTCATGACCTAATTACACATTTGCAATTTATTCTGTTAGGAGTACTGTTGTTACAAGTTGCTCAGTTATTTTCAAGACCAATGGTGGAGAATCTGGCCGCGACCTGAAGTGGTTTGTTTTACACTTTTCTAAAATATTCACTTGATAATTATTATTAATAAGTGTATTTGATGGTCTAAAGGATATAAATGTCCTATTATGTTAAACGACCGTACATTATGCATCCTTGAAATTTTATTGATGTTTCCTAGTGGAAAGAAGTAATCTTAATGATCCACACGATGTCGATGAGTCTAACTGAATTCTAGTCGCATCGTTTTCGGGGCATGTTTATCACTATGAAGTATAGAGCAGAATTGTTCCATTATGGGGAATAAGTCCATGTCAATTCCTACCCGTAAAGAAAATACCAAGACTTAAATCAGTTGAATGGAATTAATTCAATTGTATTAAAAAGAGAACCCCCCTCCCCCCCCCACCACTAAGAAAGGGTTTACAGTCATAAACGATTAAAAAATGTCCACAAGTTGCTGATCTTTTAACCATTAGTCACCCAAATTGATTTGGGTGAAGCACTGGAAATTTTAAGTGCAAGAATTGGGTGAGGGGATCGGGGAACGCAAACAAGGTAATGACCAATGCAATACATGACACATTAGCGTTTAATAGACAGCTGTCACTTTTACTGCAAGCCAACAACCTCACATTGTTTACGTTAATTATGATTCAAGGAGAAGGCTATCTCTTCTCATGTTAACTTGTTTCATTACTACCCTAACGACAGGAACTTATTGGCTTTAGTTGGCTTTAGTTAGAAGTATTTCGACGTATACCCTCCGCCATGATCAAGAGGGAACTAGAAAATGTTTTTCGTGGAGTTAAGGGGGCATTGGGCAGCTGGGGGATGGAGATGATTGAGAGTCGAAGGCCGGTTCCCTTTCGTCCTCCATAGGAAAAGCCCGTATACAGGGACGACTGGGAATGAAGATCCTCTTGGCAAGAATTCTGAAAACGTTACCTCCAAAAAACCTCTTTTTTCGAACAGTTTTGTTTCTGTTCAAAATCCAAATTTAAGAAGCTATAAAAACTAACTAACTTCTCCTCCTTTCTTCAACCTTGCTCGTTCCTTTTCTCCTTTTCCTTTTTCCTTCGTTGGTGTTATTCTCGAGCTTATAGGACTCAAAAAACCTGCCGCTTTTGGCTCTTTTTGACTCAAGTGGTTGCAACATGATTTCCTTAGGTTTGTTTTCAAAGAATCGGCCAGAATAACAACAATGTTATAAATTACTGAAAAGTTCAGTTTATTTATGTTAAGCTTTTTCTTGCCTCACAGAAGGAAGGATTGGATCGATGTTGTGCGCTTTATATTTACTTACAGGAATGTCAAGACAAAGTCAGAATCCTGGAAGATCACCACAGTCAGGTTCTTAATTTGACCACAAACAGCTCGCAAGGCGACTGTCGCATGGTGGTGTCTGAAAATGGCTCAAATATTTTATGCCAAGGTAATGTAGGCCTACAGGTGTACTTTCTATAGGATGGTTGACTTGTAAGAAAGTTATTATAAAAGAAAAGACAACCAAAGGGAAAGGAAAAACAAACAAAACCAAAAATAGTTAAATGTAATTGGGATGCAATGGAAAGCCGCCATTAAATCAGCTCGTTTTCTACAAAAGAAGCATTAATTAATTATTATTCCACAGTATCGACCACTCCCGCGTGGTCCTTTGTTGAAAACAACCCTGTATATTCTCGAATCTTTAAATTCCTCACGTTTTTTTTCGTACTTTTAAATACAACGCGCCAAATGCCTTCTGATGCTAGCCTGAATTCAGGTGGAAGAGTAATCCTCGATCGCGCAATCTGACAAACAAAAACGCAATTTATTTCAAGTCATTAAAATTGCGTATTTCGGTTAGTGATTCATTCAGAAATAGGCTTAATCAATGTAGCTATCACATAGTTTAGAAATGCTGTAAGACGGATAACTTACTGGGTGCCCTAATCCCTTTATAAAATCGCGCTTTTATACCACCCAATGTCATTAATTTGCAAGGTTACGCGGGTGTAACTGACAATCAGGTTGAAGTAGAAAGGATTGTTTTTGCAGCAATTATCCAGCAATCGTATTTGTTTTCGTATCCGTTTTCTACTTAACAAATCGACCACAATTCTCCATGGTCTATAATCTTATAGACCATAGAAATGACGTCATAAAATGTTCAAAACTCACGTGGAACCACGAGAGGCAGGCGAGAGGTCTCACTGCAAAGTTGTGAACATTTTATGACGTCATTTCTATTGTCTATGAGAGTGTAGGCCATGGAAAATTGTGGTCGATTTGTTTTTTACAATGACATTTATTTTTTTTACGAAAACCTAGACACAAAAAACAAAAAAACAAACAAACACGGACACTGCGTGACATGTTACGTCATTTCCATGGTCTATACTCTCACAGACCATAGCTCTCGACCAGCCAACGCGCGAGGATGCACTCAGTTATTGTAAAACTCAGAGTGCATTGCAATCGTCCCATGTACCTGTCGATTCCAGGTACTGGTTTCAAGTTAGTGGAACTTGGATTCTGGATTCTAATTGTTAGTACGATTCCCAACTCTTTGAGTTGTATTCCGTATTCCAAAGCCCAGGATTCCAGAATCCGGATTCCACAAACAAAAATTTCCGATTCCGGAATGTGGAATCCCTTACACATCGCATTTCAAGCTCTATGATACTTATGGCACGAGTGTTCATAACCGCTATCAATTGTTCGATTTATTATTGTTCGATTCACAGGAACTCAAATGTATCAAGTTCAGACCAGTGACTACCTGACAAAAAAATGTTGGTTTTTAGCCCTTAGCAACTGCAATTCTACTGGGAATTCTCTTTTTGAGGTACATTATTTCTGATTACCCCGTCAATGTTTAACGCATTTTACGGTTACATCAGATAATGAAATTGTTCTAAACAGTTTACTCATGTAAAACGTTTTTTTCAGGGTATTCAAATGGATTATTTTCTCAACATAACTGGTGAGACTTAATCTGGTGTTTCTTTGTTGTTCTTCTTTTATTGCCTGAGTTTTAGCAGTCAAACCCTATATGGGACGTTTTTCTCTCTTTGTGCTGTCCGCTAGCACCTATGCAAACGTTTTGGAACTAAAGAGACTGTTAAATGAACATAGGAGAAAAGTTCAACTTGCTCACCAAAAGAGTCACTAATAGTCACACTAGGTAGCTTTAGCAACGACTACGGTGATGGCAACGAAAACGGCAAAAAGTAATAATTTTAGGCAAGGTCATACTATGCTGGATAGCTTTTGCGCCAGCTCCAAAACCATACTGTAGAACTTCTGCTCACACATAAGAAAGGTAGTTTCGGCGCTAATTTCTGTAACGGAGCGAAAGCTGAGCCGCGCCGAACTCTATAAAGTAGAGAGCCACATATCGGATAGGTTAGGCTACGTAGCAGGCGCTTGGAAGTATTTGGGCGAAAGAAAAAACTGGCACGCGAAATTCTTGCGCCCACTACTTCCAAGCGCCTGCTCCTAACCTCTACTCTCGCGTGACTCCCTCGCGCGCCCCATTCTTGCGCCCACTACTTCTACGGATAGGTGTTCACACCATACCTATTTTCTGTCAAATGATAAGCACCCCAGGTGTGACTGTATGTTCACAATTACTTCTCTAATGTGTTTCTTTTCTTTTCTTTTATAGAAGCATCACCGAATGAAGCGCCAATAGGACATGAGAGAAACCTATTAAGTGTGGCATTGGCTTTTATGGTTATTGTCTTCGTCCGCTAGTCGCCAGTGGGAAAGAGTCGACTATAATTTGAACTTTTTGGCAGAGCAGCAAAACTGATGATTGTTCCAGTTTGCCTTTGGGATAAGAAATATAAAGAAATATATAATAAAAATACCCGGCACATTTTAACGTGTATGTGGAAATTGCACAGTCACGCCCCACCAAGCGATTTCAATATCCACTGTTTCAGGAGCCCATCAACTGATTGTTTTTATTAGCGAGTTTGCGAATGGTAATAAAAAACAAATGTTGCTACTCCAGTCTTAAGTCGTAAGACATCAATTTCCAATAATCCCTCCCCAATTGAAAAAAAAACAAACAAATAAAGAATAAATAAATAAATAAATAAATATTAAATATAATTAAAATAAAATAGTAAGCTCCCCTCCACCCCCCAGAGTTCAGGCTATAAACACGAGCTTTGTAGGTTCTCTTGCAACAGAAAAAGTTCACTGTTTAACCCTTCACTATACTCTATGACATATTGCCAGAATATGAATTGTGTGATGTCAGTGTGAGGTTACGTCACATACTTTTTATGACGTAAGTAAATATTTAATTATGACTTTCGTGACGGCAATGTATTTCGTCACGTCACACTTGATTGATTAGTGTGTTGTATGCTAACAAAAGGCAGATATTGTTTACTATACATTTCTATGATTATCTCATATTATACCCGTACAAGAACAATTATAGCGTAAACTGATTAGCACGGAATCTTCAGTTCGTCTGGAGCTTTTTGAGAGAAAGGTAAGTCTTACAAGTAGAGAATCTTTCTATAAGTGTTCCAAAAGAGTATCTTGATCAGCAAGCTTTATGTTACATTGGTATCCAATTCCAGAGTCTTTCTACTACTAATGGCTACTAGTAAATTCCGCGAATGATTTACTATAATGTGGAACAAAAGCACCACGTTTTCAATGCGGAGTACTTTAATAGAAAAGGGATTTCAGTGAAGACAGTATTGAAAGGGTGCATGCTTCCAGCTTTCAACTTTTTGAGAAACAACTCAAATGCAAATAATTATTCAAAAGATTAATTATCGAGAAACCCCCTTTCGGAAAATCAGACATTCGATCATCTAACTAGCCAGCCTGAGCTAAATGCTTGTCCCAACAGCAATTTTAAACAGTTAGATTTGTGATCCCTTTGTACTGGTATGAAACATGACAATATAAATCTCACGAAAGCGTGGCATAGGTCAACTCGCTTTTACCGTAAGATACCAGTCAGTACCCCGCCGTTGTGACGGTGAGCTTCCAAACAAATGAGTGTGGTATGGATCATGCTTTGGATTAAAACAAGAGTCAAAACGATCGATTGAACCAGCCTCATCTTTTTTTACACAATTATATTTGTAAGATTTTATGAAAACCGGATTGTTTTTATAGCACAGTGAACATACTTAGTATTTTTTAGATTTTTGTTATCGTGGTAACGATGGAATTTGCTTGCACAGATGTCTGTCTATAAGAAGCGCTTGCGACAATAGATCACGTCTAACAGTTTTGTTTTCGCTCATTTAACAGATTCTTTAGATAAATCAAATAAGTGACTTGAAAACTGTCATTGAACCAAAAAATGCACAGTTTTCTTTTACTTCTATCCTTCCTCGCTGGAAGCATGATCGATGAGGGTAGTTTAGAGTTAATGCTCGATACTTCATTGTTTGCAAGTTTCAATTATAATTTTACTGATTTGAAAAGGAAAAATCGAACTTAAAAATAAACATAACAGATAACAAAAGAAGAAAGCGTGATCGCTATCGAAACCAAGTCAAATCAAATGACTAGAAGCATCAAGTTTTCTTCTAAGAGCGCCCTTCCCCAGTTCACTGAACCGGCAAGGACCAGGCTTGTTTCCAAAATATTTCCTTTAATTCGGTTCATCGAGCGGAGTAAACTGAAGGACTGTTGTTTTAGACGATATTATTCTACTTTATGTACGATGAACCGCAAAACACGTCTGTTTTTTTTTTTGCAAAAACGAGAGACATAATTATGTCACTGGGTACCGTAAAAAAGTTCAAAAAGATTAACTTACTGACAATTAATCAAAGAGTCGCATGTAATTTCCAGTCGCAATTAATACAACATACACAAATGTATAACCTTTCGACTTAAACTCAGGTTTAGTTTTGTTAAGCAAAGTACCAGGTTTTAGAGGAAATCTACTTTTGAGCTTAAAACAACTAAATCTGGCTATTAAGTACCAAATCGAGTGAAAAATCGGCGAAAGGCGATTTTAGGCTTTTTTTTAATGATGATACCGTGGCTGTAAAGGGCGCCTTTGCTATTACGGATGAGCGCTCTAGGAACATGGTGTTGTAAGATATAATTTCCTAATACCGGTACAGCTGTTAAGTAGTTTTTGATTTTCTAAGGAAAAAAAAAACCGTTTATAGTAACTGGCTGATTTTTCGTGCATTTACGCCTTTCATAATTTTGTCCCATAAAACAATAATTGACAGAGGAAGAGTTGTGTTTCTGTGATGACGAATGAAAAAGGTCAGTCTCGGACTAGGTTTTAAGTTGACCACGCCTTATTGAAATGACTTAAGGTGGCTCTAAAGTAAATCCAGGAGTTTTAACGATTTTTACCTGGGTGAAACAGGAGCGTTACGTTTACAAACCTTGAGTCGACGACATTACTTTAGAGTCATTATTTTTCTCAACCGAATAGTGGGTAAAAAGTTCAAGATACTGAAGAAATTAATGATAGTATCTTTTTTGGTTGTAATAAGGCTGATTTATATACCCTAAGTGTGACAATCACTAGATGTTTCTCAGGAGTACTTTTGATTGGCATAGCTTATCAGTTTAGTATCTGTGAATGAATTTCCGATTTTTAAAGCCTGGTGTGAAATAAAAATATCCGCTATACTTTTCACAGTATATCTATTCAAAACTTGCAGGGAATATGATGGTAACAGGACATAGATCTGCTTTCCAATATTAGCCCTAGTGTTAATGGCCCTTTTGTTTCAGTTGTACTGTGAATTGGCAATATGAATGGTACAATACATAACTAATCCCGTTTCTTGACAAAGGTGCATTACCATATCTAAACACAACTTCACTTTTTCTGATTCGAAAATTGAACGAGTCATGTTGTAACAAAAGACGTGTCAATAATATGCCCAAAAAATTCATAAAGTATCCTTTTGATTTTATATTAAAGATTAAGCTTTTTTGCTGCTCAAAAACCGTACGAGACATCAGATGAATACTTTAGCTGAAATGGAAAAGGTACCGAGGATCAGTGAATTACATTTTTTTGCTTTTGTAAATAGCTAGGACAGACATGATCAGTTGAAGATGTTTAAATATATTTCTTTCGAAACTGTTTATTGCAGGTGTTGGTGTTTTTGACGGGTCAATTACGAAATCAAAGGAAGAGAAAATTGTTCTAGCGACAGTCGAACCTTTTTTTAGGAAAGCAGCATGTCAGTTGTACAAGATAATTTCCACATTTTTGTCGCTCTGCCGACTGATGATGTTTTTACCGTCAAAGGACTATCGCGCGAAATGTTCGTGTGTGAGCTTAAATCAAGGATAGAACTTAAAGCGGGTGTTCCAGGGGACATTTTTAGCTTATTCTTCATGAATGTTGAACTGTTAGACAACGAGACTCTGAAAACGTATAACCTCAAGCATGGCTGCATTGTCAGAATAAAAATAGAACAGAACTGGATCGGTCTGTTTGAAGCCTGCTGGCGCGGGGATATCTACGATGTTTTTGAAAATGGAGTTCAGTTCTTGGACGAGAAGAAATTTGACGGATATAACATTTCTCTTTGGAATAAGTTGGTGATCCGGCGCGCAACGCTCGCGTTATTTATTGCTTGCCATCGTGGTTACCTCGGACTGATACTTGAACTTATTAACCGAGGAGCCACTGATATCAACGTTAAAACCATATTTGGACGGAGCGCACTGCATGTGGCGGCCTATCAAGGTTTTGTGGGCTGTGTATCGTTGTTGCTTAGTGAAGGCGCTGTTTGTAATCAAATTGACATTCAAGGTAAAACACCTCTTGCACTAGCCAGCGAAAACGGTCATGTTTACTGTGAGAGAAGACTTTGGCTTTATCAGTGGAGTGTACAAACATTTAGACAACCGTCGTCAAGGTGGAGTAAGGAATCAAGCGAATCAAGCGAAAGTGGAGAAAGGTAAACCACGACTTCATTTATATGATACTCGTGGGATATGGTAAGCAAACGACCTCCTGAATCATAGTTTCTTCAAACCATTTTACTTTGCCTAAAATTGACTATATAAACTACAGAATACTTAAGATTTAGCCACAGCAACTACCCAAATTATTATACTACAGCATTCGGCACCCTGTAATAATTCGTCAAAGAAAATTTGCTGGGAAGCCGAGAACACAGTCTCAGTGTCAGGTAATTGATTTTGTTTGGAGCAATTGCTCTGTGATTCCCTTGGGTAGTGTTAACTAATCACGGTATTCAAAAAACAAAACACAGTTCAATCTGTGTGCACACCCTTTTTGCAAGTTTATGAAATCAGGGAAAAAATGTCATTTGACCTGCTGGATTTGTTTCAGGCTTACGCAGGATTATGAGGCCCCAACTCTAAGCTTTATATTCAAAGGTCAAAGTGACAGCAAGTGGTCAAATTAATTTGGTGGATTATCTTGTCAGTCTCGTCTTCTAAAATAATTTTGTCCCATGTAACGAAAGCCGGGTTCCGGAATCCAAGACATTTGTGCTTGTGGAATCCAGAATCTGGGAAAATTTGCTTGCGGAATCCGGGATCTTGGGCTTCTGAATCCAAAATACAGCTCAAGGAATCCCGAATCCTTGTAAAGATTTGAATCCAGAATCCAAGTGTCACTGACTGAAGAGTGGAATCTAGTACCTTGGAATCTGGAATCCACGGTGTGGAATCCAGAATTCATGACTGTCTTGGATTCCTTTAAATGGGGCGCCGAATAATTGATTAGCAAAATTGCCAATGCTGAGCAACGATTTTCATTCATCATCTACGACTTTATTCTTAGCAAGGATGCTCATCGCGCCAACAGTTGCCCGTTTCTGTGGAGTTGTGTAACTAATCAGCTTTTTGTTTCACCAGAAATGGGCGATATTCCCAGAACTTCAAGAAGTTACCATTTACACGAAGAAGACAGGAAGAGTCTGATAACAACAATAATGGCATCATACACAACAATAGTGAACAAGAAACAACGGTAAGGTTTTTTGAAATTCAAGAAATGTTCAAACCATACCGGATAGCTTTTGCGCAGCCACGAAAATCTTATGGGATAGGCTTCTGTTCACACACAAGAATGGTGATTTCAGCGCGATTTCTGTTACTGAGTGCCGCGCTGGTTTCAAAAGTGGAGCGTCACAGATCCAATAAGTTTTGGTGTAGTGTGAAAACCTTTTCGGACTGCCGCTGAAGTAAATGGGTAGGGAACTGGAATCCCCTAAGACAGAAGTAAATATTCAGGAGTCGGGACTGGGATTTAGCTCACCAAATTAACCCTCTTGGCCAACCGCTCCGGCACGATGTTTAATGTGTGTGAACCACTTGAGATAGCCCCTGGCCGTTGCTCTTTATACTATTAATACCGGATAACTTTTCGAGGCGGCACGTATAGTGTCAGCAATGCCTCGTTCTTAGGCTTGTCAAGAACGTTTGGAAAAACGGAAAACGCGCCTAAGAGTGATAGTATCGCGTAATGAACGATGGGAACTTTTAGCGTTGACGCAGAGGACGCTGATACCTTGTGCGGAATTGAACTGAAATCGCTCTAGTCGTTCTCGAATCGTTCTCGCATCCGCTAGAACGCACCAGGGTACGAGGCAGGTGTCAATATAGCCTTAGTGAAATATGACATTAACAAAAACAGAGAAATTATTTGCGTGCAATAAACACTTATATAGTGGTGACTAGATTCTTGATCATGTGTATGTTTGTTACTTATACTTATGTAAGTGTTTTACGTGTAGCTTATTCAAGCACGTGCACGTGGAGCTCGCGTCTTCAACCTCCGATAGTGCATCGACTTCCTCTTGTTATTGTGGTACCTAATACTTACATTCAGTAAGGAGAAATTGAGTTACTTAAGGTGGCCCGAACATATTTATATGCGCGTTGGTTATGCTTTTTTATCGTGTTTTTCGGCAGGAATGATTTAACCGATTTCTATGATCTTTAGCATCCTTAATAAAGAATGGTCGAAATTTAAGAAAATGTTATTTAATTTCTTGTAGGTATAAAAACGTTTGAAATATCGGCATATGTTTAAACCGCATTTTTACAAAAATGTCAATAATTTCAAAACCCTAACACAGTTTTGTCTAACTTCGGCAAATAAGCCTCAGAGCTCTCTAGTTTTATGTCTTCAAGTTTGAAGTCAATTGTGACCGTAGAACTCGCTGCACAAATAGCTGGTCAAATTTAACCTTAAAATGTAACGCTAACACATTTGTGAAAGTTGACACACAAATAGAGGACAACTGCCGACGGACTATCTCCTGTCTGCAAGGGAATTCTTGCCCAAAGCTTCAGTTGCAAGAAACTGAGTAATCAGAAACATACAGCGAATACAGTTCGCAATACAAGAAGAGCAAGTTTATGCTGAATGCGGGGCAAGATTAAATAACTTCTATTTATCAAAGTTACTGTGTATTTTCCCTTCTCTGTTCTGCAAAAAAGTCTCAACAAAGCACGATATAACATCTACGGAAATCTCCTACCGGTTTTTAGCACTGAAGGTTCCCGTCTTGAGGAGAAATAAATCCACCAACTCCCGTACTTCAACCGATCCATTTTCAACGAAAACCCTTGTATTAGGTAATTTATTCAAGTTTGAAAGATTTGCCATCACATTTGCACGGGCATTTTGCCTTTGGGGATAATGAAAAGAATATATATATATAAGACGATTGTCATATTTTCTTCATCTTTATCCCCAAGTGGCAAACTTCCCGTGCAAATGTGATGTCAAGTCTAAAAACCGTGAATAAATTACCAAGTAAAAGCACTTTCAATGCAGCTGAAAAATGGACAGAAGTACTGGAGTTGATGGCTTTATTTCTCCTCAAAACGGAAACCTACGACGACTCTTGAGAGTTTTTCGTAGATAATAGAATTTGCCTTGTTGAGATAGATTTCGAAAAGGGAGCTAAGGGACAAATAGGAAGTAAGTTTGATAAACAGAAATTCTTTTACCTTGCCCCGTATTCAGCATAAAGTTGTTCTTCCTGTATTGCGAACTGTATTCGCCGTATGTTTCTGATTACTCAGTTTCTTGCAACTGAAGCTTTGGGCAAGAATACCCTTGCAGATAGGAGATAGTCCGCCGGCAGTCTTCCTGTATTCGTGCGTCAACTTTCACAGATGTGTTAGCATTGCATTTTAAGGTTAAATTTGACCAGCTATATTTGTGCAGGGAGTTCTACGGTCACGATAGACTTCAAACTTACAGATATAAAATTAGAGAGTTCTGAGGCTTATTTGCCGAAGTTAGAGAAAAATCTGTCTTAGGGTTTTGAAATTATTTACTTGACATTTTTTGTAAAAATGCGGTTTTAAACATATGCCAATATCTCAAAAATTTTTTTACCTACAAGAAAATAAATAACATTTTTTTTAAAGCTCGACCATTCTTTATTAAGGATGCCAAAACTCATAGAAATTGGTTAAACCATTCCTGCCAAAAAACGCGATTCAAAAGCATAACCAAAGTGCACATAAATAGGTTCGGGCCACCTTAATTTTTCCAGTCTAAAGGAAGGCGCTTATTTGAAGCTGGGTACTATTTTAAGCATTACTGAAGGTAACTTCTAAACTCAATGGAAGCCTAAGGATACTTCAAAACACGAGCTTCAAATCAGTGAAAAGGAAGGAGATGGGAAGTTTTTTCTCAAGGGTTTAATCCAAGTGGAGTAAGTAGTAGTGTAGTAAGTTGACAGAATTCAACCTTTTTAAGGTTGAATTCATTTCTATCATAAGACATTCTCTCTTCAGTATACAGTGGATCACTGATTGTTGATACACTCTTAGGAGGCCCTAGTCTGGTAGACAGCCGTTTTCAGTGTCGTCACGCAACGCTCCTCCGGGGGGAGCGTTGCGTGACGTTACTAAAAAGAACTGTGTAGCAGACTAAGGAGGGCTAACTAAGGTAACTGAAAAAAGAAATGATTGTTAATATATCCTCTAAAAAGGCTCGTAAGAATAAATTTGATTTGCTACCTTTTTATGACCCTTCTACTGACTTTATTCTCCAGGCAGCTCGTCTTCAACTTCCTCGCGTTATAAACGACGATGGCAAACGACATAGCCGTCGAATAAACAGTTATGAACCACCTCAGGTTCCCTTTCCTACCGTGCAAGTAGCTGAGAAGTGCAAGAGAGAGTTTCAGGAGTATAAAGACACGACACTTCATTTACCAACCCAGACTCAAAATGGATTAGAGAAGGAAGAATTTGTGGAAGACCAAGACACCACGACACCCTTAGTGAATGAGGTAGAGCTTGTGAGAGAGATCAACAACAATGCCAATGAGAGCTGTGTGCAAGATTTTAAAAGAGAAGTCGAGAGTAACACTCCAAGCTGCCAGGAAAAGAGTGACGGTAAGCTGTAGCCACAAGGCTAGGAAGTTAGGTATCAAAATAGTTATTTGCATGTCAGTCTTCAGATAATTGGTCCTTTGTAGACCGATGTCATGCTTTGTTTTTATAAATCGAACCCCCCACTTTCCTTCTGCAATGCTATTGACGGCCTTTTATGTGTCGTGGGCTCGGTGTTTGCATAGTATGCCTTCAGCCGAGTTTATATTATTCCTGACTTTGTGCAAGAAACTCCTCCGAACAAAAAGAATAGCTTCAGAAACTCGGATTCTAAAAGCCGTTCTCAGTAGAACTTCATCTTGGTAATTTTACTATCGCTTAGCGTGTAATTAAGCAGGTGTCATGTATATTTATAATCAGGAAACGTCAGGTTCACCTTCAGGGGACTCAGGGATACGAGTTCTCATAATTAGAAAATGAGCCGACAGAAAATGTCCAAATTTACTGCACCTATTAAAAAACCCTCGAATTCTGATGTTTAAAAGCCAACTGATGATTCCGTTATTTGCTGCCGTCAATCATCTAAACGGACCTCTTAGCGAAGAGAAGTTTACTTCAATGGGTTCAAAAGGTCTATGGTTTGTGATTTGCGATTAGTGGATTTCAACCCGTTTTACGTGTTTCTTTGTCTCAAGCGGTTCGCTGCCGTGTAATCGTAATTATGATTGACGGCAGCAAAAAACGCAATTGTGAAGGCGCCTTTTGAACTTCAGAGTTCGCGTGTTTTTGAGAAGCGTCGTAAACAGAACAAATAAATCTGGCACGAAACTACTTCTCTGCTGCCTCCCTCAGCTCAGACGCTTTTTTTTTCGCAAACAGGCGAGCGCGAAACCCAAGTATATAACTGTTCACAAAGCGCTAGGGACCGCGGGAAGGAGAGGCGAAGCACGTCTCGCCCGTTTTCTCCTTCCCGCCTTCGTTTGCCCGCATCGAGAGAGAAAGAGACGTCTGGGTAAGAGGCAGTCTTTTCTATAAAGAAAATTGAAGGGAAACAAGGTCACGTGCTACAAACTAACGTTCGCGTAAACGTGATTTTATATCTTATTTTTTCACGGAGGAAATATATGATTGTCATTGTTTGTCTGTATGGCTGGATGGTTTAGGCTACTAAATTAAAGAAAAGTCAGCGATCTATTTTTTGTTTGTTTGTTTTTTGCTGTAAAGACCAAACAAACAAAGAAATTCTCACAGGCAATCGACACGCTGAACATCAAGGACAAGATAATCGAGTCACAGAGGAGTCTAAGCACCCAGAGCAAGATAGGTAGCTATGATTTTCGGACCTTTTATTCACGTTTATATTAATTTTGTTGATAAAAGTGATCGGATTAATCACTTAAGAATATTGAGGTTTATCTTGATCATATGTTATAGTTTTATTACCACGGAAAAATAATTTTTAAACGCCAAGCGAAAGACTGTTTAAGGACGGACTACTAAGGAATTCATCATTCCAAATCAATCAGCACTGAATATCGATCCAAACAACACCCTCATAGTTTCTTCTGCTAATGTACGTGGCTTTAAAAGTCCTCTCTGAGAGGTGAATACTCGGTTGAGAGAGTGGAATTGTCGAAAGGCAGGGTTTAAAATTGCCTCGGCAGAAAGCAATCAGACTGTGACAAATGATAGCTAATAGTTAACATCTTGACTGTACCTCCATTTACGTAACCTACAAATTCTACAAAGACTGAGCAACTTAGCCCCTGCGCTTTTCGCTAAAGGCTGGTTCGCATCGCTAGTTTTACCAGCTGTATTTCAAACTAAAGTAGTGTTTTTTTCCTTTTGTAGACTTGTTTATGCGATCGTTGCATCCGGCTTTCGCAACGTGTGTAACCTGTGGCGCATCGTAATTTCTATGTTTGATCTTATTTTAGCAGGCCTGTTTCAGGTAGATCTAATGGAATCCGTAAATTGGACATCCTGATGACCGAGTCAAGAGTTGAAAAGATGAAAACTATATCGTCGTTATACGAGCAAGACAAGTTACATGCATGGGATAAAAATGAATCGGAGAGCGAACTAGAACCGCAGCAGGAAAGTACGTTAATCAATCTTCGGAAAGAATACTCTTGTAAGAAACCTTCTCAATCCTATGAAGACTGGCTTCAAATGAAGCGATCTCAAGAGAAAAACAGACCATCAACTGCGCCAACACAGAAAAGCAGGCTTGGAAAGAGTATTGATCCAGAGTCGTTCAAGAAATGGCTGAATAGTAAGCGACACCAACGGACACAGTCGAATTCTGAATCTTGTTATTCTAATAAAAAGACTTTTATTAGTTGTGGAGGATTGACGTTTGAACGCTGGCTTGAAACAAAGTTATCAAACCGTCCCTTTAGTGCTGTAAATTACGTCACCGAGTCACCTGATTCAACATCAGGAGTGACTAACAAAGTTAGAAAACAAAATGTTTCTGGAAAACCATTCGAGGTTTGGCTAGCAGAAAAGAAAACATTGGAGCAGTCTGTTCATGGCGGAGAAAATTACAACGAACAAGACAAAAACACTTCGAGAAGTGGCAAAACGTTTGAAGTGTGGTTAAAAGAAAAGCACAGTCAAAAGCAGATTGAGCTGGTGCAAAAGATAACTACAGAGAAAGAGGAACAAAGACTGGCGGAAATAGATAGGTTACAGAAGTGGCTGAATCCACGTTACAAGACTTACGAGGATTGGCTGGCACTTAAGAACCATCAAGCTAGGTTTGAACGCTTGTGTACCCAGAGCGAGCCACAAAAACAACAAGAAGACATTTCCGAGGAGGAAAAACAGAAGGACGCCAAAGTTGTTTATGACATCTGGCAGACAATGAAGGCAATTCAAGAGCTAAGCGACGAAGACAGGAAATATAAGGAAATGAAAGCAAAGTGGGCTGCGAAGCAACGCGCAGAAGAACAACTGAGAAGGCTTAATGTTATAAATAAGGCCAAGCAGTTTCATTTGCGATCTACATCAGCGCCGAAGAGTTGACTTTTGTTTCGAACTTGGTGGGCAGGGGCTAGGGGAGACTCCATCTTGTTTTTTCGATCCCACCCTGCCAGCAGTTCGGCAACCTCGTTCCCAGGGCGGTGGGGCGGGAAAGGCCGGGCATCGGCTGGCCATTACATCATTTTGATTGGTTGATTGATTTAGGTAATTCATGTAAGAAAATGGCCAAAAGAAAATAATTTATGCATTATACCGAAGTCGAAATGTCGGAAAGTATGTCCACTCCAACGAAAAGATTTCCTCAAGAAATCCAGTTTGCAGGCTCTGATGTGCTCTCAGGAAGTTCTCAGAAGAGTCGCTATATACTTCGCGATATGCTTCGAATATTCAGCAAGGCCGGCTTTTCTAAAGATCAGTATTCAAAAGTTTATAAAACCTGTGGTATATATAAAAATTTCTGAGGACGACACGAGTTTATCAGTGTTATGTAGGAGTGGCGTTACATTCGTAGACAAAATGGATCAGTTTATTCGTAGAGCTCAATTTGTAAACAATACTCCGTCTGATCTAAACTCAGAATATTCTGTAAAGCGATGCGTTCAACTTTCACCGTCTTCGCGTCAGCCGTCGAAGCGTCTATCAAAGGATATGCCACCCGAAAGCTTCGATGTGGATGAGCCATAAATAAATAAAAGAGGGCGGAAGGCCTACACGACTTTTACCTTACGCCAAAATGCTGCTTGTGCCAATATTTTGTTTTTCATCTGCTGGGTAGATTATGCTCTGGAAGGTTCTACATTTTCACTGAGCAAATGTGATTTTCTTTCTTGCGCCCACTATTTCCAAGCGCCTGCTACGCAGTCTAGCCCCACCTCCAAAGCCAAGGAAAAGCGCCCTGGGGACGAGGTTGCTTTCTCGACCTACTCGAGAAAGACTCCGCTCAGAGTAAATCGCGTCAAGCGCAGATCGAACTACTGTGCTGAACCACTTTTCTCGTCAAAGAGTATTTTCGAGTGTGAGCATCCGTATTAAGCGCACGGCTGCTAGGCCTGGGTTCGAAACTTTAGCCTTCCAACACACGGCGCATGCTCATTAGAGATCTTATTCGATTCGTGCATCGATCAAGAAGAAAACAAAACGAAGCTTCTGCTTGCAGGGTGTTTCGACCCCTTATTTGCTTAATGCAACGTATCCGTAATGCTGGTATAAGTTTTAGTATATTTAAAATGTACTCTAATTCTTTAATCCGAAAGTTTTTGCATTGTCACTTTGTATATCGTTGAGACCTTCTTTCATAACTTTTGTGCAGCTCAAAAACAAGAGTCAATTTTACAAATAAAGCTTATGACGTTGATTTTGTTTTAAAATGTCACTCTTTCTCATAATCGTTGGTAGTAAAACTGTACCGACAAAAGCAAAATCTAAGTAACCTGAGAAATGATTTAGTGACGCCTACTAACCAAACTTTAGTCATCTAGTCATCTTGTGACTGCATTCGATTTAGTTAACATGTTTTCAAGCTGAAATTATTATTTTGAATGAATAAACAACTATTGGATTTGCCTTTCATATAATATGAAGAATTCTGCTGATCTCGTCCAATACCTACTACTTATCCGGCTAAGCTTTCTTTTTTTTTTTAGCTTGTGCCATTAGTGTAATTCTCTTTTTTCCTGGATATTAGATAAAGCCCGCAGGAGCGATGTAAGCCACGATATCATAGTAGATCTTTCATAGAGAACCCAGGAGAGTCTCTCTATTGACGAAAAATAAAAGATGATAATTTTTCGATTTTAATCTTTTAGTGAATTAATTAACTCGTTGGAAGACTTTTATCGTCACAGCCTCCAGGTGCAGTTCTCGTTGCCCTTTCCCCGCTACTCAGCATTCTAATCCATAGTAAGCCCCTCATAGTCTCAGTCAGCTTTTAGGGAACTTAAGATAGAGACGTTTTCGGGGCGATGGCGACCGGACTGGCAGAGCAAGCCTGGAACAGAGGTTGCCGTCGCTTCCCTCCAAAATTCGAACATTAAGATCGCAGTGAACTCAGCAGGACGGCGCCTTGGAAGGCTACCGAAGAGAAAAATATGGCTACGCATAAAGAATTAAGAGAATAATGCTTATTTGCTTGCATGCAACAACAATAACAGCAACAACAACAACTTTATTTCAATATTCCCACGTTAGTATGTCGTATTACGTTCTATTCTAAACAATTTTCAATACATACGTTTCATTTATACGATATTCTAACGAAAAAAGTGAGCTAAAAACACACAATTAAAATATCGGAGTTCAGACTTTTTGTCTGGACACTTTCATTTGGCTCGTAGCACAATTTTATCCATGTAAAGCTCACTTACGGTTTGCTGTTTGCCATATTGGATCAGATTGGATCTTGACTCTGTGACATGAAACAGAGAAACATTATAAAGATGTAAGTTTAGATAATAGAGCTTGGAGATCGAGCTTGAAATGTGACTCAAATAAAAAAAGACCATTTAAGAACGATAATCTGCAAAATTCTGGTTGCTAAACGCAACAAACCTGATTGAAATGAAAGTTAAATACTCACGTTCTCGCCACGACGCCAAACAGACCAGTTTCACGTCGCCGACGGGAGCACGACGGCAATGTGGTAAGCAAGAGCATGCACAATATTGCACAAATCATGACGTCACGTCCGGTTGAAGTTGCCGTCGCCCCGAAAACGTCTCCAGCTTAAGTTCCCTATTGACAGAGGAAGGCTTCGATCACGTTCGTTGTTTTACACGTTTAAAGCAGTGATCAAGAATGCTTGTTTTTCTTATAGAAATTGTGGGGGCGGAGGAGGTGGGGGGTAGTGACGCACGGATCGGAGAAAGGAAATTCTCAATGGACGGGAGGCTGGAGAAATTGGAAGGGGGGGTTACGCAAAAATGCATAATGATCGCAATGGAAAAAGGGTTTAAGGAACAAACCCAGGACAACGAGAGGAGGGAACCGGATATGCAAGATACAGGGGGCGGGAGGTTTCCCCTCCTGTTCCCCTCCCCCCACCAAAGAGTCCGGCCTGCCTGAAATTTTAATTTTCACTGAGCTGTGTTTATAAATGATTTTCACATTCACGTTTAAAGCAAAAGCTACAGCGTTGGTAAAACGGGCAACAAAAATGTTGCAACATTGCTTCAGAACAAGTTGAAAATCGATTAGTAAAACGCACAACATCGCTATTCAACTCATTTTGCAGCAACTTGACAAGTTGACAAGTTGCATGTTTTCTGTTTCGTGTTTTTTCGCAGCTTTTTTTAAAAAAGAAAAGAGCCAAATATACCTGATTAAATACACATGAATGAATACAGAAATAATCAGAAATAAAAATAAGTCTACAACACTGACTTACTCACTAAAATCGTTTGGAATTGTATTGAACTGCACTAAAGATTCGAAAAATAGACAATGTTCCTTCTTTGAATGTGAACTTTTATCAACGATAACTGCAAGATGAGTTAATGAATGGATGAACAGCAACAACGAGATTAAGCATATGATGCTAAACCAAGCCTACTTATAACTTAATCGGTCAAACAAATAGAGTAAGTTGACCTAGAAACGTTTGTTTAGAACACGTAGAAACTGCCTTTGATAATGTGAATTGTCCGTAACATCGCAAACAGCCTTTTTCCTGAGTTTGTGACCCATGATAGAAACGTATGTTACTTCACCCAAGCCAAGTTTTCGTCGACTTGCTCCCATTCCGTAATATCTTTTCCTTGTTTCCTCCACAGAGGCCTGTTCATGATCATTGGTTTCTTTTCCCTGCACGTATCCTTGAATTGCGCCTCCATATAAAGTAAACTGGCTCCGTATTTTGGGTTCTGTCAGGCTTTTATTGTCAGACAGGAATATAATACTTCTATGCGTGTGGACGTCCTTCTCGGGGTTATTTCCATCTTTTTGATTAAATGTACGTAACATTGGCTGGCGTCGGAAAATGGAGCTATTTTTCGCCAAAAGCATTGCATCTTCTCCAACCTTATGAGGGTAATTATTTTCTTCCGCTTCGAGAGCTAGATTGTAGCTAAAGTGAAAAATGCCCCTATCATCTTGTTTCGACATCGTCCTTGAATTGTAGGCGGTGCCGATCAATCGTCTCATCAGCTAACGATACTCTGAAGAAATATTCGCTGTATCTTGATAATAGACCGGCAATATTCAGGTAAAGAGGTCCTGTAAAAGTGATAAATTTAGTATCGAGGACGTAAAGACTATGACCTTTGTGGTGGAGGAACGTCATAATTAACAAACAAAAGCGGGTAACGTATTTCCCACGCACGACTCCGCTTATCACCTGGCATGGAAATTAATGTGTTTTCTTTTAAATTATTCTTTTCGCGTACTCGCTCGAATGACTGACTAAATGCATTTATTACTGCTCGAATAAAATGTGTCAGATATTGATTTATTATATTTCGTTATTAATTCAAAGTTTTTGGTTTTGTTAGTATTTTTCCCATGCTGTTTTCCATGTGAACGGGGAAGAGAGGAAATGAATTCATAGGAAGCATACAGCTGAAGCATGAACGGCACGCTATAATCAAACTAATCTTAAAAAGGCTTACCGCCCATGACGAATGATTCTAGATTTGCATGCATACAATATCAGAACTGTGTAATCGATTTCAAACCGGCATACATATTGTGTATGTGGGTCTCTATTTTATTTAATTTAATTTTTTTTTTAAATGATATTTTTGTCAGAATTTGTGAAGAGGTCTCACCATGTGTAAAAAAATCTATCAAGTATATAGGAATCAACAACCCAACTTCATAAAGCAAAGTCCTTTTTCTTAATTAATTGGTCACCTATATCAGTCACGTATGAAAATATCTCACATAAGTACTTTAATTACAGTTATTTTTTTGGAAAGCATACAGTTCAATTTTACCAACGAATTTGTAATCGTCAATAAATTACTATCATGCTCATAGAGCTCCATAACATTGCCATCAAAAAAATATTTACATAGATATAAAAATATTTCCTTCCCTTACACAGGGCCTCCATACAAACTCTGGGACTGTTCATGCATTTAAAATGGCGAGCAAATATGGAACCCCGTTAACAAGGTCGCCAATGGACCCCCCCCCCCCATAAAAAAAAAAAAAAAACAAAACAAAAAAAGCAACAACAAAAAAACCGGTATGTTGTTATTCCTGGGGAGGGGTGGGGAGAGCTTGGCGACGGGGCTCCAGGGCGCCAGCTGTCTCGTCGTCACGCCATAACAAGAGCCATAATGGCATTATTGCTATTGGCCAAACGGGAGCCTGTTCGCGAGCCATGAACTACTTGTACACCAGCCGTTGAAAGTATGAGACGTAAGCAGTGCCTGCCAAGGATACTAAAGTCCGGATTTTCTAAATAATACGATGAGCTGCAATAAACTGATTGCCGGTAGAGAAAAAAAGTAATAAAATAAAATAGAATGAAATAGATAACAACAGCAACAAGAGTAATAAATGACAAACAAACAAATACACACATACATACACACATACAAGCACACATTTTTTTATTGCGTTTTGAGGTAAAAGTACAATTATAACATGCCCGCGGGTAGCTAAGCTAATCTAGGTGGGTCATGTTTACAGAGAATAAATACAACTAAGTACAACTAAAAGTAACAAGAGAACTCAAGAAACTCAAATTGACAACAATGACTAGGGATTACTGATAAACTAACGGTATTACTAATAATATATGACAACAGTTATGACAAGAGACTACTGATACACTAAACGATATTAATGATTACATACTAACTAAGAGCAAAATAAATTCAACTTGACTTTTTCAACGATTTCTGGGAGATCAATATAACAGTCTTCTGAAGCTACAATCCCGGACAAAACTACTTGAGAAAGTTTTCCCCATCATGTCCACTTTCCTGCGCAATAAAACTATTTCCAAAACGACGCCTTTGCGGAAAGGAAACCCCTTCCCCCAATTCAATGTTGCTTCCCACAAACGCCCAGGGATCAGGCTTTCTTTTGAATACACAACAACATTGCTTTCAGGGGAAGGGGGAGAGGGAAGAACCGGTACAGCTACGATGTTTAGAAAAATGCTGTCCAAGTATACAATTTTCTCAACAGTTTTGTCCAAGATTGTGTACAAGGTGATTCGCGTTTTCTGGCACGAATATTTGCAAGGACAAAACAAAAACATGCTAATAAAAAGCACTTTACAGAAGCTGTTTTGAGCACAAAGTTTCACTCCAGACC